CTCACCTGTCTTGGCTCACCGGCCAGATCAGGTTTCTTGAACAGGGCTGGCAGGCAACGTTACGTTATACAGAAGCAGGACAAAATCACACCGGTAGAGCTGCCACCACTCCCTCTGTTCCGGGGAACCTAGAGTCACAACCCAGGGAGTAGGCTGTACCCTGTTGTTACTGGTTATCCCCACTCCACAAGTTGAATCCACAAACTTGCAGACAGAAGTTTTACGGTAGAGCGTAACTAAGCGTAAGGCTAGGACTTAGACTTTCCCCCCGGAAAGGCACACAAACCAAAACAGTTTCTTAATTAAAATTTATTTTAAAAGAACATAAGAAAACATGCTAAAATAGCAGGCACATCTTTAGTAAGTTACAGACAAGAAAAATAAAAACATTGTGAAATCTAGCTAGCTTGCATACTCACAACTAAAGTACAAAAGAAATAGATAGAGTCCTTTCAAGGTTCCGCAGTTCAAAGGCTTTCGCAGATCTCCAACACAAAGGATGCAAAGACAGCTACTTAGATGGAACATTAGCAGCCGGGCGATTTGCGGATTGCAGAGCGCACTTTCTCAGCCATTTCCCAGATCTTTTAACCCTGATTCACACGTGGCGTCGGAACCCCCAAAACCAATCATAACTCTTGATTATTTTTAAATTCTCCAATGACCGGCTTGTGGACTAATCAATCTAACTTCTGGCAGCTGGGCCAATTAAGAACCCAGAGCCTCAATCAAAGGTTGTCCTCCCTTCCTTGGCGCCTCTGCAGATGCACATTCCCAGGCCATTAAGGCCAGATAACATCGCTAACGGAATGCGCAGAACTTGGACCCAGGTGTCAGGCCTTCCATTAAATCAGGGGTGTCCTCTCCCATAATAAAACTTTCACACCCTGGGTGCCTGTTAGTCTGGGGTTAAAGGGACAGAACTTATCTCCCATGGTCCTTGTGGCTTGTTGATTACCCACAAGGCCTCACTCTCATTGCTTGACCAAGGAACAGCTTCTAAATGATACTAGCTTTACTACACCCTCCCCCCTAAGATGAAATTACAGGGTTAAGTCCCGCAATTTCATCCAACAACATATATACATTGAGGTAGTTGGACCAGTCTGGGGGGGCAGCAGCTCCCAAAATCATTAGCACCATCCCCCAGTCTGATATTTACACAGTTTCAAGACAATAATCACCAATAGTTTTTTTCCAGCTGAGGATTCAGGCAAAATACACCTTAATACTTCATTTAACAGATTGATACATCCTAGACAAGGTATCAGCAACCACATTGTCCTTCCCAGCAATATGTGTGACGTTAAACTGGAAGTCCTGTAAGGCTAGACTCCACCGAAGCAATTTCTGGTTGGATGCCTTTACTCTCTCCAGCCAACAAAGTGGGGAGTGATCCGTTTGAACTTCAAAGGTGTTGCCCCACAGATAAGGACGCAGTTTGGTCAGAGCCCCGACCAAAGCAAAACACTCTTTCTCAATGGCTGAATAATTTTGCTCCCGGGTTATCAGTTTTTTACTCAGGTAAACCACGGGACGCCAATTTCCCTCTTGATCTTCTTGGAGCAAAACTGCTCCTAGCCCGGTCTGACTGGCATCAGTTTGCACCACAAACGGACGTCTCTGATCTGGGGCCAACATAACTTGGGAACTCACAAGGGCATGTTTTAACAGATCAAAAGCCCGTTGACACTCTTCAGTCCAATCTACTTTGACTGGCAAAGATTTCTCACAACGGTTGGTAAGAGGAGCAGCTAATGTGGCAAACTGATTGACACCCTTCCTATAATAATTTACCAACCCTATGAACGACTGCACATCTTGTTCCACCACGGGGCGGGGCCAATCTTGAATGTATTGCACCTTGGCCTCTAGAGATTTGACGTTTCCTGACCCCACCCTGAATTCCAAGGGAATCACTTTTCCTTGAGCAAACTGACATTTATGTTTCTTTCTGGTCAGGTTTGGATCTTGCACTCGAGCCAAGACACTCTGCACATGCTTAAGGTGTTTTGGCCACAAATCAGAAAGAATCAACTTAACTTCTTCCAATCCCTCCCATTTTCCTCTGAGCATACCCAAAGAATCTTCTAGGGGTTTGCCAAAACCCAACACAAACTCTGAATTCCTTGAGTAGATTTCAACCAAAACTCCCAACAGATTTTGAACACAGGGATTGGGCAACATGGAATTCCAAGCAAACCTGAAAACATTTTTGCTCATAACATCATCATCCTGTTTCCTAGGACTGAGATTCTGTAAAAGACCCACCAAATTCAATTTCTTCTTTACACAAACATTTGCATCATAAAACATCTTTTGAAAAGCAATAAACACATCATCAGGGTCTTTAAAGTCCTTGAGCTGTGGGTAAAGAAATTCTTTGTCAGCCCCAACAGAGATAAATTCAGTCTCACCAGGGGGAGTTTCTGCAGCTTCCCGGCAACCTAGGAGAGAATGACCAAAAAACTCAAAACTTCCTACAGCGGCTTGACTGGGCTGGGCTGACCCCCCTCCTTCTGCTTGCCTCTCAGCTTTTGGTTGATAGGGACCGCTTGCATAGTTCACAGTCTCTGCTACTAGGTTTGCTGCAAGCTGCTGCAACGGAACTGCAGATTTCAAAGCATTTCCCCCCACAATGAAATTTGCACTAACTTGGGGTTCAAGAACTGGAACAAAAGGATCCCCCATACAATCCTTGGAGGTAAGCACATCAGCAGTTGCAGGTTGGGGAATTAAATTTCCCCCACCAGAATTACTCTTCTGGAAGTCAGGCTGGTTCCATTGGGACAAAACTGAGTCTTTTGGTAAAGTCCCGGTAACAGAGTCCATACTTTGAAAAGAAGGCACAACAACTCGATGAACCCTGGGGATTACGTCAGACGCTGAGCAGGGCCAATTAACACAGGGAGTGGCAGTGCGTATTAAGCCAACCCTCCTCCCAACCAATTTCTCAGATACTGCAGTCTCAACAGTCCCAGTAGTTTCGGGAGTTATAGCATCAGGCGCTAGACTTCCACCTTCCCCATCCGGGACAAGATTCTCCTCAGCCCTCAAACCTTGAGGTGTTGTTCCCCAGTTCTCCATCCCCTGTACCTGGGTGGGTGAAACCTTAATGGAACAAATGTTGACTGTATGTTGTTGCTGGTGAACCCGGTATCCCAAATCATTACCAACCAGGACAGGACTTTTACACATCTTCGGGTCATGCACTATAACTAACATTTTTCCTTGAAAACCCATATACGAAATTGGAATAATAGCAGTAGGTTGAAAAATCTCTTTCACCCCATAGGGACTAATTTTCATGGGTTTATCCTGCATTTGTATAGGCATAACCAAATCACGGGACACACTGGTAATATCTGACCCTGTGTCTCTGAAAGAGTTCACAGCAATCCCGTTGACTTCAATGGGCGCTGTAAACTTCGAAATAGCCCACTTCACATGCGGCGCATTTGGATCAGCACTGGTACCCACAGGTCCCACTATAACAGCATTAGAAGTGGCTTCAGCTGTTCCAGGAGCCATAACGTCAGGAGCTGCCACACCCTTCCCATCCAGGATCGGGGTTTCCCCAGCTCCGGCTTTTTGTTGTTCCCCTTCCCAGTCCTCTTCCTGCCGCTGAATCAGGTGCACGGCAGGGGTGGAAGTGAGAATAGGAGGCTTTTGGCTACCCAGCTGGGGGCAAGCTGCTTTTACATGCCCCGGTTGTTTACAAAAGAAACACAGTCCAGAGGTTGGGGACAATTTGGTACGTTCTCCCCTACTACAACAGAGTCTTTTGCAGACGTCAGGAAACCTTTGCTTTGTTCCTTAATGGGGGGAGCAGACTTCCCCATTGAAACTGCTGGTTTACACACATTACTTGGTCCCTTGTTGGTCCAATGGGAGCGGTTAAGCCTAAAAGACTCAGCAAAGGTGGTGGCTTCCGTTAGAGTTCGTGGCTTTTGGTCTGCAACCAGACTAGCAATTTCTGAGGGCAGGGAACGCATCAGTTGTTCAATTAATATAAGCTGTTTGAATCCTTCAAAGTCCCCCACCCCTTCGGCGGCAAGCCACAGTTCGAAGTTTTGAGCCATTTTTGCTGAGAAAACTGCAATATTATCACTGAGCCCCGACTTCTCTACTTTTCGAAAAGCCTTTCGATAATTCTCGGGGTGCAATCCATGCCTCTGCATGACTAACTTTTTGAAACTTTCATAGTCATTGAGTTCAGATGAGGGGAGGTGACCCATAAGCTCTGCCAGGTCACCACAAACTAGGGGGCGCAGAACAGCCATATACATAGTTGGAGCAACTCCCATGTCCTTGCAAGTTACTTCAAAAAGAGTCAGATAACTCAGAACGTCAGTGGGGGGCTGATATTTCGGGAAGACCCTCCAATTAAGAGTACTCAAAGACAGTCCTGGAGGGGACTGTTGGCGGTGATTTCCCCTCACTGGAACAAGTTCATACCTCGGCGCAGGGTTTTCAAGCACCGGCCCTTCCGGGCGTACCGGTTCAGCTGCCGTTGCGAATCCACGCTTGGGTCGCTGAAAAAACTCCTCCTCTTCCTCTGCCACATACCGTCGCACCGGCACGTACACCTCTTGAGCTCTGACTGGCGAGTAGACTCTACCCGGACTGAGTGACCGCTGTCTCTCCATCCGGCGGACGTCGGGCGCGCCCGCTTCTCGGCGGCAGTCTCCCACAGTCACCTCCTGCAGCTGGTGCGGCAGATCTTTGTAGTCATACGCCATCCGGCTGACTCTCGGCCCCATCAGGATGGATTGGCCCATTTTTGGATGTTTCTCTCGGCAACGGAATCCACCATTCACCGGATCTCGCATCCACTCCACATCATAACCCTCTGAGAAATCCATCTCTTTAGGCTCTGTGTAAACAAGATAGTTCCCCCTCGGACGTGTGGAGGCATCCACTTCCTCACGAGGCGATGGGGGTTGGGTAACTGGCGTGCCCCTTGCTCTTTCCGCAATACAGGACTCTCGCCGACCCCTCCGGACAGTACTTAACTCGCTGGCATCCACCAGCTCCCCCTCTGAATCAGGGTCTTCTGAAAACCAGGGGGCGGATTCCGCTCTGGGGCTTAAAGCTTGGGGGGGATTGGTCTCCACAGGAAGGGAACTGCTTCCTCCCACCAATCCCCACTGGTCTAATGTCTGCAAGGTGCATTCCTGCGACGACGCGGCATCCATCTCCTAACTATCTCTAGCCAAAAAAAATAAACTACCTGTAACTCCCAAAAGATACGTGCCAATTTAGAAAAATTCAAAGTGCCTTTCCGCAGGGAAGCTCGATCCCACCGCTGCCACCATGTAGTAAAGTTGCCCCCAGCCGCTCGCTCCTCCCTCACCTGTCTTGGCTCACCGGCCAGATCAGGTTTCTTGAACAGGGCTGGCAGGCAACGTCACGTTATACAGAAGCAGGACAAAATCACACCGGTAGAGCTGCCACCACTCCCTCTGTTCCGGGGAACCTAGAGTCACAACCCAGGGAGTAGGCTGTACCCTGTTGTTACTGGTTATCCCCACTCCACAAGTTGAATCCACAAACTTGCAGACAGAAGTTTTACGGTAGAGCGTAACTAAGCGTAAGGCTAGGACTTAGACTTTCCCCCCGGAAAGGCACACAAACCAAAACAGTTTCTTAATTAAAATTTATTTTAAAAGAACATAAGAAAACATGCTAAAATAGCAGGCACATCTTTAGTAAGTTACAGACAAGAAAAATAAAAACATTGTGAAATCTAGCTAGCTTGCATACTCACAACTAAAGTACAAAAGAAATAGATAGAGTCCTTTCAAGGTTCCGCAGTTCAAAGGCTTTCGCAGATCTCCAACACAAAGGATGTAAAGACAGCTACTTAGATGGAACATTAGCAGCCGGGCGATTTGCGGATTGCAGAGCGCACTTTCTCAGCCATTTCCCAGATCTTTTAACCCTGATTCACACGTGGCGTCGGAACCCCCAAAACCAATCATAACTCTTGATTATTTTTAAATTCTCCAATGACCGGCTTGTGGACTAATCAATCTAACTTCTGGCAGCTGGGCCAATTAAGAACCCAGAGCCTCAATCAAAGGTTGTCCTCCCTTCCTTGGCGCCTCTGCAGATGCACATTCCCAGGCCATTAAGGCCAGATAACATCGCTAACGGAATGCGCAGAACTTGGACCCAGGTGTCAGGCCTTCCATTAAATCAGGGGTGTCCTCTCCCATAATAAAACTTTCTCACCCTGGGTGCCTGCCTAATAAAACTTTCACACCCTGGGTGCCTGTTAGTCTGGGGTTAAAGGGACAGAACTTATCTCCCATGGTCCTTGTGGCTTGTTGATTACCCACAAGGCCTCACTCTCATTGCTTGACCAAGGAACAGCTTCTAAATGATACTAGCTTTACTACAGGTGGTCTTGTTGTCTAGGCAGCCCAGGACCTCCAAAGACGCTGTCCAGGCTTGTGCACAAGGGAGGTCATTTTCCTGTTGCTAGTTTGGCAGTTTGGCTTCACCCCGGAGGCACACTCCATTGTCTATCGAGACAGGGAGATGCCAACAACCCTTTCCAAAAATGTTTTCCCAAATGCTTAACTACACTTCTTTTTTTACTAGAATTCGTTCATATAATTAAGGCAACATATGGATAATGGCTTAATTGGTTCTCAAAGAAGAATCCAGATTTCCAGGTTATGTCATGTTGCACTTTGAGTGCATAATTCAAGATGCATGACCCATTAGCAAACCCAGAATTTTGAAAAAGGGAATGGAAATCAGCAGGAGAGGAAAGATTGGGGTAAGTGTGCACAGGACTATGACCTACAGCAAACCCTTTTTTTTTTTTTACATTCACCTATAGTCCGCAAAGTGTCAAGTGTGTGAGAGGTTTGAAGCGGCTATGAGAAATGGTCAGGAATCAGGGTGCTCAACCAATGGTCCCCTTTTCCATTGAGGGGACAACCTCCAGAATCCAGAATACAGCAGCTAGATTGGTGACTGGAAGCAGCCGCCGAGACCACATAACACCAGTCTTGAAAGACCTACATTGGCTCCCAGTACGTTTCCCTTGCACAATTCAAAGTGTTGGTGCTGACCTTTAAAGCCCTAAACAGCCTCGGTCCAGAAGGAGCGCCTTCACCCCCATCGTTCTGCCAGGACACTGAGGGCCAGCGCCGAGGGCCTTCTGGAAGTTCCCTCACTGGGAGAAGCCAAGTTACAGGGAACCAGGCAGAGGGTCTTCTCGGTAGTGGCACCTGCCCTGTGGAATGCCCTCCCACCAGACGTCAAAGAGAACAACAACTACCAGACTTTTATAAGACATCTGAAGGGGGAGCCCTCTTTAGGGAAGCTTTTAATGTTTAATAATACACACACACACACATAATATATATTATTATTATTATTATTATTATTATTTATACCCCGCCCATCTGGCTGGGCTTCCCCAGCCACTCTGGGCGGCTTAAAAAATTTTTTTTAAAATACTTTGATACATCAAACATTAAAAGTGTTTAACAGACTACTGTATTTTAATACTTTGTTGGAAGCCACCCAGAGTGTCTGGGGAGGCCCAGCCTCATGGGCAGGGTATAAATAAATAAATTATTATTATTATTATTATTATTATTATTATTATTATTATTATTATTATATAACACTAATCAAAGGTCATCCACTTAGTGCTTAACTGTGTAGCATGCTGAGTTTGCTAATATCACAAGGCCTTATACACAATATATGCCAATCCTTGATCCTTTTATAGGATACGTCCTCATGTTTTGTGGTTTTACAAGGAGTTGCCAGCCTTGTTCAGCAGCTCAGACCATGTCATGCTGTCTGCACTTGGGCTGCTTTCCAGCTGGGAGAGTGTTTAGAAGCCAGCTAGTAATTTAATTCACTTACTGCTATGGCAGTGACATATCTTGGGTCTCCAGTCTGTTGTTTGTTATTGGAGGCATGGAACCAATGCTCAAAGCTAACAGCAGAGGTCTCCCTCAGCTGAAATATTATCAATAGACAGTGATCTCAATGCAAACTCAGCCTTCACTAAAAAGTAAAAAAAATAATGGCCAGCTTTTTACTAGAAAAGGGCGTTTTAAAAAAACTTTCAGGGATGGAGAAGGAAGGCAAGAAAAGATGAAGAAGAAACCCTGCTGGATTGGGACCATTAGTATAAGTAATAATACACACACCCCAATATAGGCAACTACAAAAATGGATTACAGTATTAATACAATCAAAAAGACAATGATTTTCCCACCTCACTCTTCATTTGCTCGCTTGTAACCATCTCCATTATGAAGGTTATGAATCCAGACTTCAAATGAAAGCCTTGCTAGCATCAGCAACCCTGAAATGACGTTGTGATACTTTGGTCTTACAACTCTGTAGAAACAGTTACAACACTTTTCTGAGGTGTGAGGAGGGGGTGGGAAAAGTCTATTGGTAGAATGAGCTATATTTACTTTCAGCCGTACAAGTTAGTGGGGACCATTTGGTTCTATGGAAGGAAGCAGAGGGCGCTGTAACACTATTGGGGCAAGGGTAAAAATCTTTCCACCCCAGAAATCAGTTACATCTTCAAGGAGGTCCATGTCCTTCAAAGTCTGACCTGCTTATTATTTAATCTTAGGAGATATTTATAGCACAGGATTAGGAAATAAGATCATGTGAGAAGACGGTACATCATGTTGATGACTAGCAGATAGGAAACAAACCAGGTCGCTGTGTACCTAGAACATAGCAGTAAGACCTTGCTGAATGATATGCTTAGCTGCCAAAAGAAATTGCACAAGAATGATGACTGTTTATACACAGGGAGAGCTATCAGATGAGGGGAGGAGGTAGATATGCCTAGCAGCCAACAATATTTTTAAAAAATCAGTGGATGTTCTCTAATTGTTGTAGAATTGTGGCAAACAGTGCCTGGTAGTTATAACAGCAGTAGTAGCTGGATGGCTGCTCACAAATTCTCTGCACTTGCAACTTAATTAGTGTAGCACCTATTCACTAGGAGATCTTGTTTATAGTCTCTCATGGTGCCGTGCCTGTGCCCACTCAAAACACTGAGAACTGTTAAGCAAGGGAAAAAATCACTTCCACTCTGAAATATTCATGACATGTACAGTTGGCTAGCACATGCAAGGCTTTTTTTAAAAAAAATTGTGACTACAGTGGTACCTCGGGTTACATACGCTTCAGGTTACATACGCTTCAGGTTACAGACTCCGCTAACCCAGAAATAGTACCTTGGGTTAGTAATAATAATAATAATAATAATAATAATAATTTTTATTTATAACCCACCCTCCCCAGCCAAGTCTGGGCTCAGGGCGGCTAACAAGCAATAATAAAAACAAATTGAATGAATACAACTTAAAAAACAAGATTAAAATACAACATTAAAATATTGAAACATTAAAATATTCATTAAGAACTTTGCTTCAGGATGAGAACAGAAATTGTGCTCTGGCGGCGCGGCAGCAGCAGGAGGCCCCATTAGCTAAAGTGGTGCTTCAGGTTAACAACAGTTTCAGGTTAAGAATGGACCTCTGGAACAAATGAAGTACTTAACCCGAGGTACCACTGTATTTTTAAAAAACCCCACTGTCAACTAACACTGTTAAAGTTCATGGTTCACGTCTGGATGAATCCTTCCTACTAATGAGTCAGAGTCAAGTTATAGATCAGTTTAGGCCCGGCAGTGGTGTCCAAGCTTTTTTCAAAGAGGGCCAGATTTGATGAAGTGAAGGGCCGTGGGGGCCAACCAAAGGGACAACCAAAGTTAATTCTGCTATCAAAATTTTAACCAAATGTGGGAGTCATAAAGCCACGGTAAAGGCTTGTAATATTGCAGGGTGCCCCTGACCTCGGCTGACCAGCACTCTGAGCTTTACAATGTATTGGAATGTTAAATGGAGTTGTGTTTCCTCTGGGCAGTGATGACCCTATATGGTGATGGGGGCAATAAAAGCCTTGACCGGATGAGGTAACGTGAGACACTGGCAAACGGCCATGCGGCTGGAGAGAGACAAAGGATAATAAAAGAGCTGCAGGAGGAGAGGGAAGTTCGAAAGGAGCTGCTCATACCATCATGAAAATATTGCTGGCTCTCTGTGTCTTTATTTTATGCTAAACTGCGCCATTTGTAACGGCTGGCTCCGACAACCAACTTGAAGCAGTTGCCATGATCAGGCAGCTAAATAGGTCAGTATCCCCAAAGGTCAGGAACACAGGGAGGGGGAACAGCAAGTGACAGCAGGAATAAAGGGAGCCCTGCAGCAAATTAAACCAAGCCATAGAAGTGTATCTGTCCTAAGTGTATATCAAGTTTTCTACTCAAACAGCTGTTTAGCCTCAGGGCCAGCTGAAACCCTAGTTGCGAGGTCAACATGACACAGCATAGAATATCAAGATCATTCCCCGGCTTCCTTGATCTCCTGAAGTAGTTGCAAGGCAGAAATGTTTTGTCTACATACCTACAGGACCTGATGTTTGTATCCAGCAATGCCAGTGCTTAACTTGCTGATATGTTCCATCCGTTTATATTTACCAAGGGGTGGGGTGGGGAGACAATGTTCATATTCCAAGTACAGAATAAAAAAATACTTGGTGTTAATGGCCACACTTTTATGAGGACACAGTCCAAAATCCAAGCATAGCTACTTCATGGTGTTAAAAGAATACCGAGCCACAAACCACCATTTTCTATTTATTATTGAATTGCTACCCCACACTTCCTCCCAAAGGACCCAGGGATAGCAAGCACATCAGCATTTCTTCACAGCCTTCACCAGCCCAGATGCCTTGAACTACAATTCTCATCCACCTCAGCCAGCACAGCCATGATGAAATACAGCTGATGAAAGCTGTATTTTTCTATTTTTCTATTTTGTTTATTCATCTAGAGGGCCCCAGATCAGTAAAGGCTGTCTGGACATATTGTCTTTTATCTGTTTGTTGCATATTACCACATCAAAAATGTACACACAATGTAGTTGAGAGGCTTGCTCTGAAGCTGGGTTTGCTTGGGTGGAAAATAAGGTTATGAAGACGACGAGAACTGGCAGAGAGCACTAGGGTCAACATCAGGTTCTTTGAGGATACACAACATGAGGGACTTAAACCAACATCTGATACAATGATTGCCATAGTAGATTTCAAGATTATAAATACATTGTGTTAAAGCTGTTCGAATTTATACAGAAATTCCAGAACATTCCTCCTTTGCCTGTCAGAGCCCAGCTCCACCTTCCATGCTTGTGAAGGGTTCCCCCAATCCTCCAAAGCAGATTGGGGGGAGCACAGTGGCTGTGGGGTGAAGGGTTAAAAATATATATCCTGTCTCCCTTTCACCCACAGCAGCGCCCAATAAGCAGAGGTCCACTCCAGCCCCAATGTAGATGAAATTAGAAAAAAACTAACACGACAAAAATCCACCCACTTATACCTCAATGGATCACTCAGACACTGCACATTTGAGAAGGCTCAAACTTGAGAAAGTATGGATTCCACATAAGATAGTGAAAGCAAAATGAGTCCCTAAGAGGCTGTAATGGAGACCCTCAGTAAGAAGATTTTGGACCTACTATTTGTTGAAAGGGCTTCTCCTAGTACTTGAAAGCTGGCATGTTTTAGAAATACTGAGTTTAACTATCCAACAGATACAGGGCTGGCCCAGTACATGTTGGCATCTGAGGTGAACCACAAAATGGTCACCCCTCCCTGCCAGGGAAGAAGGGGTGAGTGAAGATCTATACCCAGGAACATGGAGGGAATAAAGATCAACATAGGGATCTGCTGCCCCTGTGGATTCTGCCGCCTGAGGCGTTTGCCTCACCTTGCCTCATGGGTGGGCTGGCCCTGAACCAATAGCACAACCATGAATCCTGCCAAGTAATCAAAGCAAAGGGGCCAGGCTACCAAGGACCCTGAATCTCTAGCCATGTGAGCCATTGTTTTTCTCAAACAGAAGCAACCCAAGCTAGATAACAAAGTGGTTTTGAAATAGAGGGGGGCTTCAAAATTAGTTTGAGATACATTCTGGAGGTTAAAAAGAAAAATCCCACTGGGCTAGTACAACCAGCTAAGCAGTTCTTTGGATCCCAGGAAGAAAACTTAAAACGCCAGTTTTTCTAAGCTCATAAATTTGCCTATAGATTCCCTTGTGAATTGAAATGATGCAAAATCCCATACTGTTAGGTATACAAGTAACATGTCGCCAGCTTCCCATTGACCTACAGTTACTTAGATAGCAAATAAGTTTGCCTATTTAAACTATGCAGCACACTTTCCCCTTTTTATTTAATCCAGAATATAATTTGCCAATGTATACCTGAAGTCCCAGGGAAGAACTTGCACAGTCCCAACAGGGAACCATGGTTGTAGCTGCCATTAAGCCCTTATTACAAGGAACACTTGGATTTAAAAATCCCCACAGGCATTCTGCCAGGTCAAACTTATTTGGGAGCTTTTCAGAAGGCAACTCTGCAATTTGGCAAAAGACATAAAACAGGGGATTCAGCAGGATTAAGGTTTTAACGTTAATTCTGGAAGGAAACAAACTTATTTTAAGCTCCAAATGTCATACTAAAGGTATGGTGATTTTTAAAGGTGGCTTTTGGTAGGGTGTCAAAAATTGGCCATTTTAAATTTATATAACAAGCTTAGCTGTAAAGCTATCTCTCTTATGAAAGATGTTCCAAGGGAAGAGATGGCAGAAAAAGAATGTTTCCTTCAAAAAAAACAACCTTAGATTTAGGGTGGGATTCACTTAATGAACAGCAGAAGGGCAACACCTCCCCACCAGAAAAAGTTGTCTGGGTGGGGTTGGAAACAGTATGTGGGGGGAGGGGAGATCATTCCACCTGCCTAGCCAATATGCTTGGGCAAACAGAACATTTTAAATGGCATAACAATTTAATTCCACCTATGGGGGGATTTTTAATTGATGGATTTCTGAAGCATGTGGAATTACAGCTATAGATAATACCTGCATGTTGGTATGTGTCATGTGACAAAGGTATTTGAGAGCAGAAGCCGTAAAGGAGTCTAGAAATGTTGTGAAATGCTGAAAAGCTGCAGAATCATTTAGCATGCTGAATCATTGTGACTCATATTTTCACTTTCCTCCTTCCTTTAAAGCAGAGAGAGATCTAAAGAGGTCATTTACTACCAGGCAAGTTGTATTCAAGTGACATGAAGGAAGAACGTTTAACAGACAAAATATTTCTCCAATGGACACACAAAAATTTCCACCAAATCAGCAAGCAGCAGAGGCTGAATATGTACTTTCAAGTTTTTCCTTAGCTTCACAAGAGGGCATAAAGCACAAATCTAAGGCCTGATTCATTTGCTACACAATTCAGCAGGAAAAGGCACAATATTATAAACCTGCACATGACTCTAACCAGGTGAAGCAGTAGATAAACATTCACTTTGTGCTCTTGCAATACTTTTATTTGCCCATTACTTTTCACTAACAAACATATAGACACACAAATGAAGAATGGCTGCAAGTACGTGCCTTTGTACAGTCTGGCAATGCTTTTTCTCACCATTCAAACATTAAGAAAAACACAGCTGCATTTTCAAAATGCAAAGGAAAAATATCTGGACAGATGAGGACCTGGTTTTGTAGCTCAGAAATCCAGACTCTCTCAAAAAAGGGGGGGGAAAAGAATGTAAAATATTTCCAGAGTATGAGCTTATGAAGCTCCCACATCTGTATTTAAACACAAGAGGTTTCATAAACTATAATCCTTTCAAGGCCAACAGAAATGGCGAACAGAAACTACAGTATAACACATTCAAAATCTGAATTAAGTATACTGCATTTTGTGCTGGAGGAAAAGCCACCTCCTATAGAAGTGGCGGATTAAAATTTCCAATATATTTACAATAAAAAAGTTTTAAAATGCTCCTTTAATTCATTCTAATCTTAAGAGCACACCTTCATATAAAAGATGTGTGGATTAATTAGTTGTGCAGCTTTTAATTGGAACTTATTCATACTTGCCACAGTACTCAAGTTCCTTTGCAGCAAAGATCAGGACCTGTCCACCCCCCCCCCCCAATGACATTGGACTCCAATTCCCAGTAGCCCTAGGCAGTATGACCACTGGCCAGGGACAATGGAAGTTGAAGTGCCACAGTTTCCCCATCCCTAGTTTACATTACAGTACTATGCATACTAACTTGGAAGTAAGACCTGCTGCATTTGTTCAAAGGTGCTTATCCCACAGTATGTTTATGATTGCAGTTTTACTGTCTCTGCTGAAACTGCACAGCTTCCACAAAGGAATGGCAGATTGGAGATCTTAAACTGCACAACCAATAAATAAATAAAAGTTAAGAATCCCACTATAAATATGTCGCCATAAAATTAACAGGTGCCTTCAGCAGAGTGTATGTGTATCTCGAATTCATAGATAAGCAGTACTGCATGATCATGACTGCAAACACGTTACTTCGAGACAGTTCTTGTTCTCTATCTGTCAGGTTGCTTCTGCTTGGTCTAACATGAAAATTATGAGTATCTGGCACTTCTTTCTTCCATCCTAAATGTTTAATTCAGACGCTTTTCGATGCGGTTTTACTCAGTTCATCTTCTGTAGGACCGTCAACTGACATCTGTGAGAAAAAATAAAATTGATGGCTGATTCAATCCATTCTTGATAGGGTTGCCTGGGCTCTGAGGCTACAATAATCGTAATTTTAGGAATCAATAGTGAAACTAGCTTGAACAGAATATGAGTAGGGGGGCTTACAAATTCTGAAGAATGGAGATATAAGGAAAAAGCAATTGCTTGGGCCAGTAATTATTCCAACTCCTAAAACCAGCATTATTAATTCTAGTATCTGGTTCAGCTGGTGATCATGGGTATCAAAGTGAGCCCACAAAGACAGAAGTGCCTTATATTTTTGAGCTTTCTCACTGAATAAGTTTGAGAGTTCTCTAACTTTACGTGGCTTGTAGCTGATTTGGGATAGGCTACTGGATTGCTTGTTTTGTGTGCAGTGTTCTATGATGTTTTGATTACTTTACAGGTGACCATTTTCCTTTGATTAAGATATTACTGAGACGAGTCCATGCAGCTCTCTCTTTTGTAGGTGGATCAAAGCATGCCATTAAGAAAGAAGTGCCACTACTCCTTGCTGCTTCTGAGTAACTTGTGACAATAAGCTACCAGTGTCAGAAACACCACAGACAGAATAATTGCCACGCACAGGAAGAACGAGGATATAGTTTGAGTTCCTCACTTGCAGTTTTATAAATCATTCAATGTGTCAACACAAATAGAAGTTATTAATATTGCAGTTGTTGTATAAGGGATTATTATTATGACCGGAATGTAATTGAAATGAATTAAGATTTTGGAACACAGAGAAAAAGAAAATAATCAAACCATCCAATCTGGCACATGGGAGGGCCACTTTAACTAAATTATATAATTCAGTATTTGAATGATTGGTATTAATAGTTGTATTATAAATTGGAATTGTTATAATGAGGCTATTGTTGGACTGTAATTGAAAACTAATAAAAAATTGTCATTTGGGGTGGGGTGGGGACTACAACTACAAAGCTCTTTTAAATAATGGCAAGCTGAACTTGAAATCTGCTACTCAAAGCAGCCAGAACTCTAATGACATTGTGTTCAACAGTCTAATGCTGAATGCCAGGTATTAGTGGTCGATTATGCCAGCAAATTAAAAGATTAAAACTACTTACAGATTTAATGTCAACACTTATCCCTGAATTCACATTGTGCCTTCGCAAATCTGATTTGATTAAAGCTAAAAGGAGGAAAGAAAAGAAGCATATGAATACCAGCACATTCACTGCAGTGCATATTTTTGCAGGATAAATTCTGTTGGTCTTTAAGGTGCGATGAGACTATTGCTTTTGCAGCAAAAGACTAACATCATGATTGTTCTGCAGACCACATGATACCTGCCTTATTCCTAGCTGTTGTTTCTCAGTCTACAACAGTGATTTTCACACAGGTTCCAGGCTGAAACATGCAGCAGTTAACAGCCCTGGATGCTGAAACACATTTATCAAATGCTGACGAAGGTCAAATTTGACAATGGTGCGGGACTCAGCACTCTGAAAACTTCAGCTTTCATTTAAAAAATAATAATAATGTCATGTTTAATGTGCTGCAGGCAGGAAGAGGAGGAGCTGGAACATATAATAATTTATATAATAATAATTTATTATTTCTACCCCACCCATCTGGCTGGGTTCCCCAGCCACTCTGGGCGGCTTCCAACAAAAGATAAAAAACACATTAAAACATCAGTCATTAAAAACTTCCCTAAACATATTGTTGTTATCTTTGATATTAAACACTAATATTGCATATTACTAATTTCCACCTGGCTAAATTGATCTACCAATTTATACACACCCAAATAATTATGAACCGCTAGCCTATAATGGGGAGTCTAGATCAAGCATAGGCAACCTTCAGCCCTCCAGATGTTTTGAACTACAGTTCCCATCATCCCTGACCACTGGTCCTGTTAGCTAGGGATCATGGGAGTTGTAGGCCAAAACATCTAGAGGGCCGAAGGTTGCCTATGCCTGGTCTAGATCCAAACTGTAGAAACACAAAGACCAAAAAGCCCATTTGTTGAATGAACAGAAGTAAAGATGCATTCAACTTACACAGCAACCCTAAGCATATATACTTAAATGTACTGTGTTTAATGAGGTTTATTTCCAGTTGACCATGCTGGACATGTTTAAATCAGAATTAAGTTTCACTGCTTCCTGAGTGTGTTTAGGACTGCAGCCTGTGTGAGTTTGGCATCACAGCACAGCCTTCATGCTCTTGCAGCGGTCTTGCTCATTCAACTATTTAATAACCTTGCTCACATTTTACTTCTTAGTGCAGGGTTCTACTGCTATCAGACAAAGGAAGATTTAGTTTCCTTTGTTGTCACAAATGTCACAATAGTTTGGATGGCAGCCAGTAATCCTAATAAGCTTTCTTTACTCACATCCCGCTCTTAAATCTAACTAGCTCTTTTTTTAAAAAAGCAAGCTACCCACAGGCCACTTCCTCCTCACCTCATTTTTCCTCTTTTAAAGTAGATAAAGCCAGGCAACCAGCTGTTTTTTATCACTTTTATTGATATTCCCCTGCTTTTGAGGACTTAATTATTTTCATCCATCTTACTTTATCATATGGCTGCTTTTATGATACATTGTTGTTCATGTTGTTATTGTTGTGAGACGTTTTGGGTATGTTTAATAGAAAGTCAGGATAGAAATGTTTCAAATTAATAAAACAGAAATAAAATATGAAGGAATCAGGCCTTTGGGATGGACTGCATACTATTCCAGTAAGAAGAAAATACATTTATACCCTAATTTGAGAAAGAAAGCCAACTCGTTACCTGTTAAAATGATACCTATAAACATCCATACGAAGAGGAAGATGTTTCCTGCACGGGGATTGTAATCTGTTGTGAGCTTTCCTTGAATCAGTGTAAAGATAATCCCAAATATCTGTAAACAGACCATAAGAAGGAATTTCAGATTGTTTCTTGATAAACAGTATCTTCACTACAATGCTATCACAGTTAAAACTTGCATGGTGTTTGTTCACAGTGGTTGTGTTGCAGCAGAGGGAGAGATAGGAAACAGGGAAGGTCATCAGCTCTGCTGAGAGACGAGCTAAATTTTTCTTCACTTTTGGTTGGTTTTCACTTGAGCTGGTCGCTGTAAGAATTTTGTATTCCTACAAACTGGTGCCCTAGTTTGCCTTTATTTCCTTTTCACTTACAGCCATACCTCTTGTTACATTTGCTTTAGGTTAAATCTTTTCAGGTTGCGTCCTGCAGTGACCTGGAAGTACCGGAAAGGGTTACTTCCGGGTTTTGCCGCTCGCGCATGTGCAGACGCTCAAAATGACGTCACGCGCATGTGCAGAAGCGGCGAATCGCAACCCACACACAAACAGATACGGGTTACATTCTGCTCATGTTGTGAATGGGGTCTGGAACGGATCCCGTTCGCAACCAGAGGTACCACTGTATTGCCTATTAGGTTGTGTCCTTTAGAGTGTAAGCCTAAGGGCAAGGGCTGCCTGCCTTGCCTGTTATTGATTTTATGAAAGCTGAGGTAGCAGCCTTCTCAGCAGAAGAGCCTGCCAGAAATGAATTTCATAGAATCACAGAATTGTAAAGTTGGACGGTACCCCCAAGGGTCATCTAGTCCAACCTGCTCAAATGCAGGAATCCTGCCCACAGCCAACCCTTGCTGGGCTCAAATCACAAAGCTTCTGGTTAACAGTCAGATGCACTGGCCCACTGCACCACCTGGGGTAGAGAGTTTCACTTCTGCATTCTCTAAGTATGCTATTTAGAGACAATGTGCCGTATTTTTTGCTCTATAAGATGCACCAGACCATAAGACACACCTCATATGACACACCTAGTTTTTGGAGGAGGAAAACAAGGGGGGGGGATCTGAATCCCAGAAGCCAGAACAGCAAGAGGGATCTGGCTTCTGGGATAGCCTCTTGCTGTTCTGGTATATGGGATAGCCGTGCGCAGCCTCTCCTGGGGAGCGGGATGAAGGCTCCCCCTGCCCAGAAGAGGCTGCATGCGACTAAGCCAGAAGCCAGGACAGCAAGCAGGATTGCTGCGCTGTCCTAGCTTATGGGATAGCCGTGCACAGCTTGGCTCCCCCAAGAGCCGCACTCCCTTTAAAGAGCGCACAGAGTGTGTGTGCGGCTCTTTAAAGGTAGCGCTAAGCAGAGCCTCCCATCTGCATTTGCTCCATACAGATTTCCCTTTACTTTTTAGGAGGGGAAAGGTGTGTCTTATAGAGCGAAAAATATGGTCTATATACTAGCTATACTATCAATTATGTACCACATTAGCTGTCCACTGATCTTTGTCAATTGTGTTTTCTTCCATTCCACATTTGTTGGTTTTTTTATTTACCCACCAATCTCAGAGATGAGCATGGAATAGTCTCCCTGTAGAAAAGGGAGCCCAGCGCTTCTCTCATCTCTGCAGATCTGTGCAACTGTGCAAGGTGGGGGGCACTCTGCAATCCTCCCACAATCCCAGTGGGAAGGTGGCTTGCTGAGTAAACAGCCAGCTTGCACTCCCGAGTTGAAAAGGCAGGGACATGAGGACAGGGAAGCTAGAATAAAATGGGGGAGGGCTGCAAGTCGGTGGCAGAGCTTCTACTTTGCCAAGTGGAAGGTACGATATTCAATCCCTGCCATCACAAGATAGCAATGGAAATATCCCTTGCCTGAAATTCTGCCGCCAGTCAGTGTGGACAACACTGGGTGAGGTGAACCAATGATCTCATTCGGTATAAGGCACCTTCCACTGCTTTCATTCATTAGCATTTCTAAATGCCACCATACTGTGCTCATGCAACACGCAATGTTTTCAGCAGGAATATTGCAGACTCGGTGCATCACTGAGCCTGATACTGCCTTTTAGGGAAGATGCCGCAATTTTTAAAAGCACTTTAAATACTAGCTACTGCATCGTGCATCCATAAGGTTCTGCATAAGTCGGTCTATCATGCCCGATTACAAAACAGAGAGCTACCAGAACTCAAAACAGAGCATTAATTATTGGAGCAGATTAGTTTACAAAGCATCCCGTTGTTACCTGGGCTGAAGCATTCAGAAGCCCTGAGGAGGTGCCTTCTGATTCAGGGTATGTAATTTCCACAGCAAATTCAAAACCCAAAGGGAGGTAACCAGTCATGAAGAAGCTGCCGTAGAAACCCAAATTTCAAATGAGCAACAGTTGTTATGAAGACCATGTGTGAAAAACAGCTATTTTTAATCCACAGGAAATACATATGGGCACCAGAAAGCTCGCAACTCTTTTAAACAAAAAGTTATTAGACCCAGTGAAATCAGGTGGTTTAAGTAACTTAAGTCCACTGTATGGCTTAGATCAATAACACCTAAGAGATTTAATTTAACCTGCATTATAATACATCAGTGCATTTTATTAATCTGTGGATCCATACCCTAGCACTCCGCCAGTCACAAACACAACAACGAGGTGTCCACAGTCCAAGGTGAATGTAAATACAACCATCCCAACAAATGAGAGGATGTACACAACTAATGTAGTCTGCCTGTAAACAGAGTAAGAAGAAAACACAATGCTGTCAAGTTCAGATCGCATCAGTATTATTCTTTTTGCTACAGTTTAAACCAAGCTACTTTGCAGTTCAAACACACAGGCACAGCAATACATTTCAGTGACAACCTGTCACTTCCCTGCTTTGTCTCAGGACAGGCTGTCACAGTCTTATGCCACTTGGTCAAAATATTTTTAACATACCTTCCCATCTCTCAGGATACAGACAATATAAAAACCACAATAAACACCAATAATATTAGCAATGCAGGAATGCAGTATAGTTAGGCAGGGCCTAGGGACAACTGATTATCTATAGAAATGCATGCCATCTCAAACAGCTCTCTTAACCTGTCACTTGAACCTATCCTGAGATCACCTTCTGAGGCCCTCCTTCATGTGCCTCTTCCTCAAGAGGCCCTGAGGGTGGCAACAGGAGAACAGGCCTTCTCTGCAGTGGCTCCCCATCTGTGGAATGCTCTCCCCAGGGAAGTTCACTTGGCACCTTCATTATACACTTTTAGGCACCAGGCAAAAATGTTCCTTTGTAATCAGCCTTTGGTTGACCTGATTGACATCCTATACCAGGCATAGGCAAACTTGGCCCTCCAAATGTTTTGGGACTACAGCTCCCATCATCCTGAGCAGGACCAGTGGTCAGGGATGATGGGAGTTGTAGTCCCAAAACATCTGGAGGGCCGAATTTGCTTATGCCTGTCCTATACCCTTTTAAAATGTGGCTCTTTTTCAGAGGGTGTTATTGGGTTATTGTTCTTATTTTGATTTTATACACTGTGATCTTTTCTGTGAACCACCCTGAGATCTCCGGGTATAAGGCAGTAATTATATATATATATATATATATATATATATATATATATATATATCTCAAGGGAGTCTGGCAAGTGCCTCTTGGAAGGGGCTGACACACTTTAGATTATTAGCATGAAATTTATGATATTTAAACCATACAAAAAAGAAGCTTAATAGAGAAAAGTGTTAGCTACAAGTCACACCAAAAACACATTGACCACAAGCCCGCATGCGAATGTTGGGAAGGTAAACGGTGTTTCCGTGCGCTGCTCTGGTTCGCCAGAAGCAGCTTAGTCATGCTGGCCACATGACCCGGAAGCTGTATGCTGGCTCCCTCGGCCAATAAAGCGAGATGAGCGCCGCAACCCCAGAGTCGGCCATGACTGGACCTAATGATCAGGGGTCCCCTTACCTTTACCTTTAAGCTTTAGTCTATGGTTTCCCACTCGCTTGGGTTGCAGTAAGTAAAAAATATTTTTGTACCTTAAAAGCTAACTTGCACGCCGTCATTCAAAGCTTAAAATTGTCCTGCAGCGCATAATCTACCCTACTTCCTGGCATTCCAAGCTCCCTTTATATGTTGAGCTACTGAATTCCGCTTATTTATTGCTTCAGTACACCTTTCCTTATCATTTAACATCATCGTTAGTTCCCAACAAATAATTCAGTAAACAAAATAGGGGGCCCATAGGAATCTGAAATATTTCACTTAATATTCTCTTTATCATTCTCTGGACCACACTTCAAGCACAGGCTTCCTCACAAAGCTGCAGCCCACCACAGAAACAGCAGGGAGATATGAGGGAAGGCCTCAAAAAGTAATGGGGAAGCAGGTCATTTACTAGTTTTCCCTTCTCTAATGGTGGGAAGTTCCAGATCGCTTTTGTAGCATCCATTTACTTTGGTGAAGACAGCACTAGAGATTTTATTTTTGTAAAAAAATGAAACAAAAATCCCAACCCACGTGTATTTAAAACATGTTAAGTCATGAAGGAATAAAAATGCAGCAGCTATCAGATGTAGGCCAATTTAAGATCAGCATCAGTTCAAGCTCCAAAATTCAGTAAGTTCCAAAATAACTAAATCCATACCATTCACCCCATAATTATGGTAAAGTAAGCCTTATTCTAGGGACGCGGGTGGCGCTGTGGGTACACAGAGCCTAGGACTTGCCAATCAGAAGGTTGGTGGTATATTAACCAGCAGGGGTTTAGGTACTATCGGAAGTGTTTTTTAAAAATCAGAAGGTCAGCGGTTCGATTCCCCACATCGGGGTGAACTCCCGTTGTTTGGTCCCTGCTCCTGCCAACCTAGCAGTTCAAAAGCACGTCAAAGTGCAAGTAGATAAATAGGTACCGCTCTGGTGGGAAGGTAAACGGCGTTTCCGTGCGCTGCTCTGGTTCGCCAGAAGCAGCTTAGTCATGCTGGCCACATGACCCGGAAGCTGTATGCTGGCTCCCTCAGCCAATAAAGCGAGATGAGCGCCGCAACCCCAGAGTCGGCCATGACTGGACCTAATGATCAGGGGTCCCTTTACCTTTACCTTTAAGCTTTATTCTATGGTTTCCCACTCGCACACTTACTTGTATGTTTTGGTGTAATCCAGCCACAAGCCACAAATAACTGAACCCACCATTCCAGCTACCACAAGAGTCAGGCCGATCCTTCCTGCATTCACTTCTTCTCCCTTGGAATAACATTGTTGTGTAAATATCTATAAGCGGCACCCACTTTACTACAGTGAATATGTGCATACAAACTTATTAGAAAAGCCAAAATCTAAGTAAACATCGCTGCTGTAGCTAAGTGTAAAAAATAATTGCTAGAGCAGGCTTCCTCAACCTCTGCCCTTCAGATGGTTTGAGACTACAATTCCCATCATCCCTGACCACTGGTCCTGCTAGCTAGGGATCATGGGAGTCATAGGCCAAAAGCATCTGGAGGGCCGAGGTTGAGGAAGACTGCACTAGAGCTTTTCACAGATGGGTTAATCCAGACTATAAAGACATTTCAATGTACTCAAATCAATGAAATAACTGTTGGTAACAGGAGACAGCCTGCCAACGTACTGCACAACCATAGTTTTCACTTTGTCATTTTAAAGTTTTCGATTGCTTCCAATTCTAACAGATCCCATGACAGCATTAAAATCAGGCTACTTGCTTATAAGCACAGTGATTTTAAAATGTGTTTAATGGTTTAATTTGAAAAAGCAGTGGAATGGTCCCCCTCCCCATATATTGTTGTTGTTTAGTCGTTTAGTCGTGTCCGACTCTTCGTGACCCCATGGACCAGAGAACGCCAGGCACTCCTGTCTTCCACTGCCTCCCACAGAACAAAAAAATCACAAAAGGAACAAGCAGGTTCTACTCAAGTATTTAAAATTGCAGCGGATTTGGGAGATGCTCTCAGAGGCCAGAAGATGAACTACTTGTTACTCTTTAAGACTTCCCCAAGAAGCTCAATCCCCTCTTTTGTGGCTACGAATATCACAGAGATTCTACCCTTTCTTCATATGTGCTATTGCACTATCCCTTAGTTTGCAGCCAGGAAACTGCATCAAGGCATGACACACACATACAATCACCAATTTCTTAGGTCAGATCTGTTCCAGCCCTGAGCAAAATGACCCTCTCAACCCTAATTTGACAGTGATAACTGAAACAAGCATGACATGAAATTCTTTAAGAGAATAAATTAATCAACGGACATTCTAGAGAAACTTGCCTCATAGTGAGTTATTATCATTTGGTTTAGTAGAGTTGAGACTGAATAAAATGCCCCAGTCATAATTCCTGCAATGAGAAATAAGACTGTTTAAAGTACTGGTATGGTTACTGAAATTAAATCAAGCAAAATTAATTTTTATTTTTTAAAAGGAGAAAACTTGAATCATTGGTATCTGAAGGCTAAAAAAAAAACAGCTCTATCACTTCATATTGTTTTAGTTTATTACAAACATAGCATAGTTAATTAATCTGTATAAGGCCATAATCTGATTAGACATGTAAGCTTTATCTGAGTACATGAAAAGTGAAAAAAACACCAGTTTAAAGTAAGAATGACACAGTTCTACTGAACTTTCAAAAAAGAATTTTATATTGCACAATAAATCTTTGCTGCCACATGTAGGCTAAATATATTTGTATACACGTGGTGTGGACTTTACAAAAGTTTTTTAAAAGATGTGTGAATCTACTAAAACATTTTTGGAATAGTTAATGATAATATCAGATACTACCTAAGTATTCAGCAATATTAATAGACTCTAAATGGAACTGATTGTACAGAAAAAATTTTAATGAAGAAAATAATTGTTGAACAACTGAATAAACTATATAAATACATTGTTATATTGTCATCTGCTTCTTGTCACCCATTTTTATCATTTAAAGTTGATAATGGTTAGATTTTATTGATTTATTTTAAAATGAAAAAGTACATAGTAGCATAAATATTTACCTCCTAATATATGAATCTGTAGTAAGGTACGTGGGGGGGGGCAGCGTTACGCAACTATGTTATACAAGACACATGAAAAAAAGATGCTCAAAATACTCACCATAACTGATCAACAAAAGAACAAAAGGAACATTTCTGAACAGGTTGATCATTGATTGCTTGTAGGAGTAATTATCAGGCGAGACATCCAGAAGAACAGCCTGAGACTGACTTGGGGGATATTTAGGTTTTTCCTTAAACACTAGGAAGAAGGTGACACAGACATAAAAGTTTTGCAAACCAGCTATTGTTATTCAAAATATTAATTAGCACCATGCAAATCATGAGATGAGGGTGAGGTCACAGGATGTACCTTTCCCATCATTTATCTAATCCGGCCTTTCCCAACCTGGCCCCCTCCAGATGTTGTTGGACTACAACTCCCATCAGCCCCAGCCAGCATGAGCAATGGTTAAGCATGACAGGATTGGTAGTCTAGTATAGGGGACACCAGGTTCAGGAAAACTGATCTACACACACACACACACACACACACACACACACATCTGAGAAAGAGACAATGCTTTAAGTGTTTTCCCAACTAGCAGAAGTTCTTTGATTCAAGTTCAATCTGTTCTTTACGCTTGTTCTCATGATTTCCTTCGCTGTCAAGTAGTGCAACTGTTTATTTTCATTGCATCCAAAGTGTATACTTTTTTTCCTATTGAAGTTGCTAAGATGTTGCTCCAGGCTCTCAGCTAGTGTAACATTTTATCCGTTTCCCCCAGTTCTCATTTCTAACTGCCGCATTGAACTTGTACCCTTTTAAGCAGAGCTTTGATTTACTTGCTTCTATTCCTCTTCAGTTCAAGCTCCTTTTGTCTGAATGTCCCCTTTATCTATGCCCTATTTCTGAGAGACGCACCCCCCCAAAAAGAAATGCGTCCAGGTTGCTGGCTTTCAAAGTAGAAGCTGGCAAGATTCTCACTGCAGATACTTTCAAATACCTGGTACGAAATGAATTGACTGGTAGGACTGTTTCACGGCAGCCCAGCATAAACTTTGGAATTTTCTCCATTCCTATTCCCGGAGTTAAGCGAAAAAGATAAGTCAAGCTACACTTTTTATCTGCAGGTAACCCTAGAAAGGAAAATGGTGAAGCAGCTATAGCCATGAAGGCAAAACTTATAGGAATGTGTTTTAGAAGGGGCGGGGGAGCAGGGTGGTGGTTAATGGAATCAGGTAATAATTTCGTAACAAGGCAAAAAGCATTCCAAACAGTATTTTTTATGTACTGTGAAAATATTTACTCTCTTGCTATTTTAACTGTTTTCCAATTTAAACATTTTTTAATGGATTGGAATGTTTCGTCAAGCATAGCCTATCATAGCTGTCAACGTTTCCCTTTTTTAAAGGGAAATTCCCTTATTCCAAATAGGATTCCTCACAAGAAAAGGGAAAAGTTGACAACTCTGCGCCTCATCTATGATATTTATATAGCCTTTGACTGACTTGGATTTGCTTTGTTTGAAAGCTTTCTTCAGCATTTACAAAACTGCTTACAGATATGTTTTACTTACCCACTGCTGCTAGTATAAAAAGGAATGTGGATACGGCTGCCGTACCATAGAACATAATGCGGATGTTATGTCCCATGAGGTCCATGTCATCAGGTGTGTTTGGAACTAAAACTGGTGGCAATAAGAAGCCGATTGCTGTGCCCAGCTGTAAAGAAAAAGCAACCTAAATGAGGTTTGGTAATTGAAACATGCATATAACTGCAAGTAAAGCATGTTTGAAACCAAAGTGTTCCTTCATTAACCTGAAGGGGAACAGGTCCTGGTGGATTTATTTACACTTATAGTGTTTAAATAGTGCATCATTATTGAATTAAAATGCAAGGCATTTATCAGTAGTAACAGAGAAATTGTGCGATCCCAATTCTATTGGTATGTTTCATATAGTGCTATCCTATATTAGCATTTCTGTAAAGTGCTGCCTCTCTCTGAATATTGGTGACAATCAAGGCATTGGCTGAAATTTCTTATCTTGAAATATACCAGCATCTCTATTTTATTGATACTGCAATCACTGGAAGTGTACAGCTGAATTTCTTTACCATTCTCTGTCAGCAGAATTAATTGAAGCACATGGTTTAACTGCAAAAAAAAGCATTAGATACTTCATGCCTTTAGTTCAGAAATGCTACAGGCAAACATGGAAGCTTTGTAGTCAACACCCTTTTAAAATTGTAAAGCTGTTGTCTGCTTTTACAATGTTTTATCTTTGTATAATTCAGAACAGTTCTACATTAAGCTGCACAGGATACCATTATTGGGGTGGTAGGCAGACTAATGGAAATGAGACTGCTACTGCCTTTAGTTTCAAAGTCTTTCACAGCTCATGGAGAAATGTTTTAAGTTACAATTATATTGAAACATCATTCTCCATGGGCGAAGCTGCTTTGACACACCACTACAGACAGGGCTTTGCTTGTCATCAACCTGCAACTAACTACAGTGGTACCTTGGGTTAAGTACTTAATTCGTCCCGGAGGTCTGTTCTTAACCTGAAACTGTTCTTAACCTGAAGCACCACTTTAGCTAATGGGGCCTCCTGCTGCCACTGCGCCGCTGCTGCACGATTTCTGTTCTCATCCTGAAGCAAAGTTCTTAACCCAAGGTACTATTTCTGGGTTAGCGGAGTCTGTAACCTGAAACGTATGTAACCTGAAGCATATGTAACCCGAACTACCACTGTACATGGCACAAACAAAACACACTGCTAGGCCTTCCCACCCCACCCTCATCACATAAATTCTAGCCCTTTCCATTTAAGATTCCCTCCTCCCTTAGAAATGCATGATTTCTCCAGATATTCTCCCGATGAGCATCCCTCCCTGACACACCCCTGTCGCAAGCATCTTGCATTCTACATCCTCTTACCTGGTTGCCCAGAACAGCTACAGCACAAGCAGTGGACACTTCCTTGGGCCCGAACCAGACAGAGGCAATGCGGGAGGGCAACCCCAGAATAAAAACCTGGGCTATGGAGCACACAATCTGAGCCACCAACGTGACCGCATACAGGTTTGGTTGGACGCTGGTACACTTAATCCAGGCACCCAGGCAGTTGAGTCCAGATCCCAGCAAGGCAGTGATGCGAAGCCCCCGAGTGTCCAGCAGCCAAGTGGCAGGGAAGATCAGGGGGATGTACGTCACCATATAGGTCATGGACAGCCAGTCTACTTGAGAGTTGGAGACGTTGTAGTAACGGGTGAAGACATTGGTCAGTATACTGTACTGGATCCACTGGAAGGCGTTCACCAGCGAGTACAAGCTGAAGATGACCAGCACTACCAGCCTGCGCTTGGACAGCCGAGGGATAAGCTTCACTTCTGATGTGGAAGCAGGGAGCATGGCTTCTGCCTCAGGGTGCTCCTCGGATGCAACAGCTCTTCCAACCTCCACATCGCTCACTGACACCAGAGGTGCTGAGCTGCTGCTCCTTTCTGTCTCCCTGCCAGGGAGGCACCCATTCTGGTGCAGGGGAGGCATCAAGGCTACCTCCACAATCTCCCCACCCTCTCCCTCCTCTCCGCCTTCCCCTGCCTCTGACATGTCAGCACCATCCCCACCCATCCTCAAGCCTGGGTCTGTTTCCTTCAAGCCGGCTTCCCTGAACACACCCACAGGTCACACACAGGTGATCTACTGGAGGCCTCCCCTTGCCCACCCAGAAAGCCCCTCCCCTCAGTCACACACCCCAAACACACTCTCCTATCTTTTGCCCCACAGATACACACCTAAAACTCCTTTCCTTTGCCCCAGACTTACACCCCCAAAACACACTTTCCTATCCTTTGACCCACACACAAAACACAGCTACACCCCCAAAACTCCTATCCTTTGCCCCAGACTCACACTCCCAAAACACACTCTCCTATCTTTTGACCCACAGATTCACCCCAAAATAAAGATACAGCCCCAAAACTCCTATCCTCTGCCCCAGACTCACACCCACAATCCTTTGATGCACAGATACTGCACACAAAACACCCCCACACACTCCTATCCCAGACACAGGCAGGATTATTCCCCGTCCTCCAAGGGACTAGCCCCTTTTATTGCCTCTATTGACACCCCCCCCGCCTCACACGTCAAGGTCGCCTACCCGCCCCCTGTCCTGCCTCGGGTTCGCTCCCCTTCCCAGCCTCCGACACAAAAGAGGATTTGCACGAGCGCGCACCCGTCCCTGCCCAGCACGCTCGCTCGCTCCTTCGCCCAGGTCCTTCCCCAGCCAGCCAGCCCTCTTCTGTCCCGGGGGGCCTCTCGCCTTTTCCCCGCCGCCGCCGCTGCCACCCCGCCCCGCAGCACGGAAGGGCCAGGAGGGCTAAGCAACGGACGCGGCGCCCACCCTCGCTCCGCAACGCTTGCCGCCCCTCCAGCAACTCGCGGCCGGCTCCCGCATGCGCACACGGCGCTCGCCCCCCTCGGCAGATACGCCGAAGCCGCTTCCGCAGCCAATGGGACGGCCGGGCTCGGGGAAAGGGGGCGGGGCTTAGCCCATCTCTCCATCCGTCCGAGGCTTGTGCGCCTCTTCCATGTCACTGGGGGCCACGTGGAGCTCTCTACTGACCCCGCCCCGAGGGGGTTGCTGGGATCCTCGCTTTTCTCAGGCCCTCGTCCGGCGCAAGAGAGGTTTCTTCCCCCACGCACCCACCCTTGCCATTCTCCGCGCACCCTTTCGTGCCTTGCATGTAGTGACAGAAGAAGGATGCTACAGAGACACCCGGGCAGCTCCCGGAAATCAGAGGGTGCAGTAAGACGGATCCAAAAACAAAATTAAACTGTCCACAGAGAAGATGACTCATTGTTTTTGTATTGCCACGGGGTAGGTACTGTGTGAAATGTGCATTTGCACTGCACTGTTGTTGTTGTTTTTTCCAGGATGGGTGGATGGAGGAAAGAGACAGAAAGTAGGTAGTGTGTCATTTTAGGCGCAGGGAAACACGGGTTCAGAAGAACCGGATTAAACGTGGTGTGAGAGATCTGTGACTGCATTTTCTGGCTTTTTCTTCTCTTGGCTAGAAGCACCCTTGCTTAAGATCACGGTTCAGGCATTTGAGGGTAGGGGGTGTCTTCTCCATGAAATATCAGGGCAGTAATATAAAAAACCCGTCAAAAGATGTACAAAACCATCGTTAAGAGTACTGGGTACTCAGTAAGATGTTAAACTGCAAAGGGCTTTGGGCATAAAATGTCTTCAAGAGATGTTCAAAAGTGAATATCTGCTGAATATCTGCTGGTAGTATGTTCTACAGCACAGGACCAGCGACACTAAACTGAGGCCAGTCATGCCTCTGTAACATGGAGGAGGGAATAACAGTCCTCCTCCAGATGATCTCTGCGATTGAGCTGATCTATAAGAGCTCAGGCAGTCCCTAAGGTCTCCTGGACCCAAATGGTACAAGATACACAACTTATGCCACCCATGCCTGACCTAAATCATTCCTCTAAAGCTACATGTTGCACTAGAGGGGATACTATGCAGAGAGTTGGAAGGTAAAATTGTATCTTATCCAGTTTGTCCATGTTTTATTGTACAGTATACGGTATCACTAGGTTCAGAGAAACCTCACACTCTTATCTGCAAGATCTAGGCTTTGCAGCAACTACAAATACCTCTTCCTTTCCAAAAAAAATGTAAGACAGCAAGGTTGGACAAGCAAACGGAAGCCTTATTGCTAATTTAGTCATGATTTGTTTATTTATAAATATTTATATACCACTGTATCATAAAAATATATCACAGCTGCTTACAAGAATATGAAAACATAAAACCAAACAATAACATAACGTAAGTTAAAAATAAGTTTAAAGCAAAAATAAATTAAAAACAAACATGAATAGACCATTGTGGGGGATGAGCTCTTAATTGCCTACATAGGCCTGGCAGCACAGAAAAGTTTTCAGCAAGCTTTAAAAGCTGGCACAGAAGACCGCTGGTTCTTTGAATTGCCAGTTGCTAAGCATCTACGGAACTTCCTGAAGTTCTAAACAGTCCCTGTTTTTCCATCAGGAGATCTAAGTTGGCAGTCCCACGCAATAATCTCTTAGGAAATCAGAGCACTGCAGGGTATGTGTTGCTTAAAGGTTGAGCTGGTATAGGAGGCCTCCACCTCTAGTTCCACCATATTGGGAAGAATATAGGAGTACTTTCTGGCAAGACACGTAATCTAAGAAGCAACGACCTAATCAAGATTGGCATGCTGACCGTAGTTTGCCAGAATAGCCCTCCCCGGTTTTGATCTACACTTCCCATCATTCTTGGCCGCTGTCTTTGCTGGCAGGACTGACGGGAAATGCAGTCCAAAACATCTGGAGGGCACCAGCTTGGGAAAGGCTGTTCTGGAGACCTAGGCTGCATCCAAATTATCATTTCTATCACGAATCAGCTATAAATCAAATGGTGCTTCGAACAAGGAGCATTTCCAGCACCCCTTCATGAGTTGGATGGCCAAGTACCTTTTTTTTAAAGAGTTCATTTCTAGCCTACTTCACAACTTAGATACATCATCTGCAAGAATTATTTATCCCTGTCATATTAGATCTGTGTTTCCCAAAGTGGGTGATGCCGCCCCCTGGGGGGGGTGTTAGAATGATCCAGGGGGGCAGTTGGTAGCCTCAGGTGCAATTGGGGGGCATTGAATAAAAATAAGAGGGCAGAGGAAGCATAAATAAGAGAATTTCAAAAAAAAAAAAGTTTGTTGTGTAATAATGCTTACTACCAGGTCGGGCACTGTTGCGGGATGGCAACAATGCCTCCCCTGGATCTTGTGGTTCTGGTGCAGGTGAGGGGTTTTCCTGGGCTTGGGTGAACCCTTTTCAGCTTCCCAGGCCTGGGAAGTAGATCACAGCTTGCCTATTTGGCCAATGGCAGGCTGGCTGTGGCACCAGCCCTGCCCCTGGGGCAGATCAGACTGAGTTGGGGGGTGCTAAATATATATTTTTTCTGAAAAGGTGGGAGGTAGGCCAAACAAGTTTGGGAACCTCTGTATTAGATGATGGATTTAACCCAAAGGTAGCCAACAGGGTGCCCTACAGATGTTGTGGACTACAACTCTCATTGTCCCTGATCACTGGCTAGGCTGTCTGGCCCTTGGGAGTCTCCCCAGGCCCCTTCCACAAGCGCACTCTCCTTTAATGTTTTTGCCTGGCTGATATGGGACCTTAAACTCAGATAATGCCTCTTGCTTGCTTGAACGGAAGACAGAGAGGGGTGTGGGAGTATCATCGCTCCGACCACTTTTTGCCTCTGGTCCCACCCACCTCTAGCATGCGGCCCTCAGAAGGTTCACACAGGGAAGGTGGCCCCTGGACACGAGTTTTAAAGCATCCTTATTATTTGATCCCAGAAATAGTAGTACTGATCAGCATGGGGGCAGAGGAAAAGAGCCGATTGTACCATCTTCTGTTGCACAACTGTATCTTAGGTTTCATTCCTATAGCAACTGAGCAGGGCTAAGGTGTCCTGCTTTCACATGGACTAAAAGCATTTGAAGTTACTGAGGCTTGCTTATATTTTTGCTCTGCTTTTAAAAGCAGGACTTCATCTCGGGATAAAGAGAAGTTCCAATTGACCAAAATGGCCGAAGATGAGAAAAAGCTCTTGATTGAATATAACAAGTTGAGGGACCCTGGATGCTGGTTGGAAGGAAAGTCCGAAACGGCCTGGCTCAGGCCTCAGAGGAGACATTATCCCTTTTCTAACCGCAATTCGGCAGAGATTTTTAAAATAGTGAAGCATGAGTACATCAGTGACAGGGCCTCCTGGATAACAATAGGCCCTCCTGAAAATAAGGAAAAGAGGCATTTCCCGGAAAAAAGTAAGCTAATTTGTAATATATTGTGACACACAATATTGCCAATCTCCACAGCAGAGATTATAGGGAGTTCCAGGCACTCTTTACCCCAGGTTTGTGTTTCCTTTTGGACAATGAGGAACAGTGGAGACGGAAGTGTCTTTATGATATATGGTTTATTTACACATCTATACAACCTGTACCTATGATGAAGGGGCTTCCAGTGTTACAGTACAAGAGGGTTCTGTTTCTCCCTTGGATTCTATCTTGGATTCAAAATGTCAGCCCACATTGTGCCCTGACTCCCACCTTTCTCCAGTTTGGCACCACTTGCAAACTGCAATTAACTTTCCTCCAGCTTACACCATGCCCACTGCAATCCTGAAACTCCCTCCCTGAAACTCTGGTGTTGTCTTTGGCTAGCCATCCAGAACCTGGGGTGGAGATCCACCCATTTACTGGCTGGCACATAGTCTCTGCCCAGTGTACCTGAAGGAGCGTCTCCACCCCCATTGTTCAGCCCAAACACTGAGCTCCAGCTCCAAGGGCCTTCTGGCGGTTCCCTCACTGTGAGAAGAGAGGTTACAGGGAACCAGACAGAGGGCCTTCCTGGTAGTGGTGCCCGCCCTGTGGAATGCCCTCCCATCAGAAGGAAATAAGCAACTACCTGACTTTTAGAACACATCTGAAGGCAGCCCTGTTTAGGGAAGTTTTAATGTTTAATGTTTTATCATGTTTTTAATACGGTGGTACCTCGGTTTACGAACTTAATCCGTTCTGGAAGTCCATTCTTAAGCCAAAACGGTTCTTAAACTGAGGCACACTTTCCCTAATGAGGCCTCCCGCCGCCAGTACCCTTTCACTGTTCAGATTCCATTCTTAGACCGAGGTAAAGTTCACAAGGTAAAGGCCCCCTGACAGTTAAGTCCAGTCGCGAACGACTCTGGGGTTGCGGTGCTCATCTCGCTTTACTGGCCGATGGAGCCGACGTTTGTCTGCAGACAGTTTTTCTGGGTCATGTGTACAGGGTACAGGGATTAAAAGGTCTGTCACCCACAAACACATAACAATATATTACATTGCAAGTAAATGTTAAACTGTAGGAATCTGTAATTCCACCCCTCTCTACGCATCAACTTTGGAGGAGTAATTAGGGGCAGTTTCGCACAACAGTTTATCATGGATTAGGTGCTGCACATGGATGCAATTTTTCATAGCATCTGCATGGTGACGTCCTCGTCAAAATACCAGCCCATATTTCCCTCCTGTTTTAAGGGATTTTTATGTGATTGATGTCATGTGCTTTGCAAAAATTTGTGTGCACGAGTTAGCCCCTTAGTTTGCAATGGGCCTACTGCTCACTCTCTGTCCATCCTGCCTCTTGTGTTCTTAACTCCCATCTCTTCTGTTCCATTCTCCTTTAACCCAGCATGACATTTTCTTCAGCCTAAAAAGTATGGCATTATCTTTCTTTCTCCTGAGGTGCAATTCAGCTGCATTGCTTCCCTATGTTGTAGAGTTATGCTTGCCTCACTCCCCCAAAGTGGTGAAAACTTTCAGGGGTACACACAGTGCTTACCCGGGTTTGGTTTCCTTTGGAAGAAGGGAGTAAATAGAATGAATATACAAACAGTGACAAAGAGGGGTTGGGGGCTGTTCAAGGAAGCATATTCCTCTGAGGACATATTTCCCAAGCCCATCTGCCCACCCCCACTCCATGTGGAGACTGGTTATTATTGCTCAATAGTAAGCAAAAGACAATCAGCTAAGAGACATTCTTGTTTAGAATTGGTGGGCATATTTCATGACTGAGCTTTGCTAACGCAAACAGGTACTGGGGATTGATCACTGACTCAGCCACCAACTAATTCCTTGTAAAACAAAACAGAAAACTGATGTTGAGTATGGGCTGAAGCAGCAGAACAGGTGTTACATCATCACCACTGAATTTATTTTAGATGCTGCTTGCAAAACAATGAGGAGAAAGGCAGCGCTTATTTATTTAGCTTTTTGCCTTATCTTGCCTGGCCCACAGTTCTGTGCATGATTAACTATTAAGACTGGGAGAAAGGACACTGAAGCAGAGTTAAAACAATTTGGTCTGAAAAATTATCTTGAGGTGAGGGATAGAGGACTCTTGTCGGTTTTGATTTCTAGTCTTTCGAAACTTGCCTTTGGTTCTCCAAATTTCTGCAGCAACTTCCATGAACAAATAGATAAAATTATCCATGAAAATTCAGCAGCAATATAGTGCAATTTTCTCCCAATAAGCACATTTCTGTTTGCAGTTTTTACACATTTTTGCAAGCAACTTTTCCTAACTTTTTGTGTAATTTTTCACTTATATGCATTTTTATACACATTTTCACCTAATTTTTTTTTTAAATTAGTTGGAGAACTAGATCACAACATTTATAGAAGTGTGAATTTTGAATCATAGTGGCCAGAGACTGCTGGGATAGGGGAGAATGTTGGTTCAGTTTGCATTTTCTGAAAAGCAGCTTACCCTGGTCTCCCAGGTCCTAGACCAGCACTCTAACCACTACACCACAATGGCTCTTACCAGTACAGGTCACATCATGCTGGGAGCTTCCCACTTCAGACAGTAGCTGTCCAGCTGTTTGACGGGTTGGGGAAGGTGGAGCTGGCAGGCTGCTCTCCCTCACATGTTGCTTTATTCCAATTCTTGAACATCTGTAGAGAGCTTGTTGATTTAACTCAAAAGTTAGCCAAGATGGTGCCCTACAGATGTTGTGGACTAAAACTCCCATCATCCCTGATCATTGGCTATATTGACTGAGGCTGTTGGAGCACGTAGTCCACAACATCTAGACAGCACCACATCGGCTACTCTTGCTTTCACCAAATGGTTCTAAGAAAGTTGTCGGCTCCTACTGATTCTGTTTTATGCTTCTTTACTTTGTATCTTGCAGGCCATGCCATCTTTGGATGACGTGCTCCTCAAAGGCTGCTTCTCTTGGACATTGCTGGGCATTTCTCAGGAGCAAATAAACAATTATAATACTGTCTGTGTTTGAATTAAATTGGTTACCAAAAAATTAAATAGTTTGAAAATAAGTTATGTAAAATATGCCAGTAGGGTTTTTTTATTTTAAAAATTGTATCTATTTCCTTGGTCCAGACTAAGTGATTAAGAAATAAATTTAACACACTTGGCTTGTATCTAATGCACTATTTAAGAGAACATTTTGTGTTTGTCGTTTCAGTAATCAAATAATTAAAGACAGTTTAAAAAAGGTAAAGGGACCCCTGACCATTAGGTCCAGTCATGACCAACTCTGGGGTTACGACGCTCATCTCGCTTTATTGGCCGAGGGAGCCGGCATACAACTTCCCAATCATGTGGCCAGCATGACTAAGCCGCTTCTGGCGAACCAGAGCAGCGCACAGAAACACCGTTTACCTTCCCGCTGGAGCGGTACCTATTTATCTACTTGCACTTTGACGTGCTTTCGAACTGCTAGGTTGGCAGGAGCGGGGACCGAGCAATGGGAGCTCACCCCATTGCAGGGATTCAAACCGCCGGCCTTCTGATCGGCAGGTCCTAGGCTCTGTGGTTTAACAGAGTTACATGGCAGTTACATAATATTAAAACATGGGACAACTGTAATACTTTATTCTTACTGCTCTCAAAATTGCAAGAAGGGAGCTGCAGTTCAGCAGAAGAACATCTGCTTTGCATGCAGAAGGCTCTGGGTTCAATCTCTGCCATCTCCAAGGAGGGCTAGGGAAGACCCCTTCTCAAAACCCCACAGAGCTGCTGCCAATCATTTTTGACAACCTGAGCTTGATGGACCATGGGTCTGACTCAGGCAACCTTCGGCCCTCAGATGTTTTGTCCTACAACTCCCATGATCCCTAGCTAACAGGACCTGTGGTCAGGGATGATGGGAATTGTAGTCCAAAACATATGGGGGCCTGAAGGTTGCCTATGCCTGGTCTGACTTGATATAAGGAAGCTTCCTCAACAAAAAAAGTGCCATACCTTAACTAAAATTGGACAGGGCTGCCAAGGACCAGATGACATTACCTTAGAGCAGACATGGCCCATGAGCTGCTGCTAGACAGATCTGCGTAAAAGGAAGCTGAACACATTTTATTCTGCCTTAACTGAGACAGCAGAGCAAAAAATATAAAAAAAAGGAATGAAAATGCAGCTTGGTCCCCAAAGTCAGCAGATGCCACTCTGAATAAAACAGAAGGTGCCCAGATCTGTTATGTAAGAAGATGTTATTTTTCCTATTATTGCTTTCCAGAGTAGATCAGCTGTGCACCATGGCACCTCCAAAGGCTTTCACTGGAACCCCTGAGCAGGTGCCCAAGACATTGAGCTTTCATTGAGGGAGGGGGAAAGTACATCTCTAGCCTGCCTTGGAAGAAAGTTATGAGGCAAAACGTGCAGTTGCCTTCTGTCAGGAACTGGCTGGATGAGGAGGAGTGGTAGGAGCCTCCCGCCCAGGAGCTCCCCAGGGAGGACAGGGAAGATGAGGACTTAGACTCCATGTCAGGAGTGCGTACAGGAGCCAGGCCTTGTGACCAGTAGGACTTTGCAGGACTGGAGCCTTTCTAAGTTTGTTCTGAAGAGGCAAGGTGCGGCCACACAGGTGAGGCCGATTGGTAACTCACAGCACCTGGTGGCAAGAGCTGGGAAGGGTATAAGGTTAGCATTTCCCTTTGGCTCTTTGCCACAGCAACACGTTTCCTGCCTTGAGCTCTTGAACCCCTGACTTTGTGACTCCTTGCTTCTTGATCCTTGGACCCTTGACTTCGTGACTCCTTGCTTCCTGACCCTCGGACCCTTGACTTCATGACTCCCGGCTCTCTGACCCTTGGACTCTTGGCTTCCTGACTCCTGGCTTCTGAACTCCTGTTCCTGCTCCCACCCCGCCATCTTGTCCCTGGTCCTGACGTCGCCAGCCGGGACTTCGATCACCTGTGAACCGGACCATGACACTCTGTGGTCCTAGTGGTGGGACATCAGGGAGGAGACTGGGGGAGGGATGAGCTGGGAGGTGGTAGCAGCAGGAGGTTGGAGTGATCAGGGTGGTGGTGGTCAGAAGATGAAGGCCTTTCCAAGGCAAGGCTGGAGGCTGAGCATTTCAGTGTGAGCACAGACACAGGGAGGAATCGGAAGGTACACCTGCCATCGCGCAGCAGCGCAGTCTGTCCTCCTGCTCTCCTCCTCTCACAACCCGGCTCCAGGAGAGCCCTGCATGTTGCCAAGCAAAGGGCCAGACAGGCCCATCTCCACGTTGCAGTCACCGTCTGTTGGGGAGATCTCCAGAATAAGAGGCTAGAGGGGAAAGGCAGGGCCAGAGGTCAGTTTTCCAACAATGTCTCAAGCTGAAGGAGTCGAGCCACAGAGGCCCCGCTGTGTTACTTTCTGTGAATACAAGTCAGTTGCATTTCAAGCCTCCAGCCTTTTCCTGACCTGCAGAAACCCAGCATTTCTCTGTCAGCCTCATGACACTAACTGGTTTCTGTGAAATGAGAGTGGGTGTCATGTGGCCACTTTGTATATTTTTCCTGGTAGTGAGGAATGTTCCCTCCCTATTAAGACAGCAACAACATCTGTGCTTGTTTGTGTAAAATCAGTGTTGTGCAAATCTCTACAATCAGGACCTGGAGAATGTAGCTGACATATGGGGAGCGTAAAGTTGTTGAGGATGGCTGTTTATCTAATTTTGGGTTATGCCACATGCCTCCCTAGAGGAGTTATTTTGTGGCTGGTGCCCCCAGCACTCCCCCAAAATTCAAAATGTCCAAAAATGTTGGCACCCCCTGTTCTAAACACAGACCAACTCTTACTACTTTTCACCCCAGATGACGTTAAAATGCCTGGATCGGGGTGGCCAACTTAATTCCTCCAAGGTGTTGTGGACTACAACTCCCATCATCCCTGATCATTAGTTATGTTTGGATTGATGGGAGTTGTAGTTCACAATAGCACCAGATATAAGGCTGCCCTAGATTATTCATTGATGTTACATTCACTTTAGACCCAGTCAAGCACCAGTGGTTAATGTAGTTTCCTTATAAGCTGCTTTTCCATTGTGCCCAAAGCTGCTCAGAATAAACATCAAGTAATTATCACAATAAAGCAATGCATTTGGAACAGCAATTCATTACATGTTAAGTTAAATATGATAAAATGATACTACTATACTTCATTATTTACTTATATAACACTCAAACAGTAGGCTGCTAAGAGGTTTGCAAAAGACAACCTAAACTATTTATTAAAAAATACAGATAAAAGCAAACAAAAACAAGTTAGATAACATTTGGTTACATAACAAGTTGTCATACATTTTGACATTTGAGATTATGTTTTTAGGACACACCTCATTTTCTTGGTTGCAAGTTGTTTAAAATTGTTTTTATATTGTCTTTTAATGCTGTAACTCACCCTGGGAACTTAGGATAAAGGGTGGGTAACAAACAAACAAACTTGTTAAAAAATATTTAAAAAACAAGTAATTTATAAACCATTATACATGCCTGGGTAGGCTTGCTGAAATGTAACAGTGATGGCTCAGTTGGTTAGAGCATGGTGCCGATAACGCCAAGGTTGCAGGTTTGATCCCCGTATGGGACAGCTGAATATTCCTGCATTGCGGGGGTACCTTCCAACAATACAACGAAGGTACCTGCCTAATATCAATGGGCAAGGAGTTCCAAAGATTGGGCTGAAGGACCAATTTATTGCAAGTGGGGTACAAACACTTGTAAAAGTGCCAGTTCCACAGACCTAAGTGATCGGATGAGCACACATGGAGTTAAAATATATGCAATACAAAAGCAAGATCAAAATTAATAGTAAATAAAATTACATAGCTGGCTCAGCTCACGCATATCTAGTGCTGGTCTACTCTAAGGTGCCACAGCAGCCTGAGGTTGACATAGTTTGAGATCCTTGACTGGGCAAGGACAGAATCTTTTCAGTAGGTAAATGGTTTTGCTGACTCCCTCTTTTTTTTACTACAAAGGAACACTGGCAGCAATATGGTGTCTGTAATAAATGTAAAATTCAGTGCACAGAGAGAGACAGAGTAGACATAAAGTATTGTTGTTAGCCGCCCTGAGCCCGGCTTCGGCTGGGGAGGGCGGGATATAAATAAAATTTATTATTCTTATTCTTATTATTATTATTATCTCAGCCAAACTGATTCATTTGTGTGATACTTCTTGTCTCTGGCCAGTTGCAAGCACAGACAGGCTTAGTTCAATGTTTACCACACAGATCTGCTTAAAATTCAGTAAGCTAAGTTAGTATGGTTACCAGGGTGGGCAGACCTCAGGTTTTTTGGATCTGCTTTGGGGTTTGTTTTTTCTAAACCTCCAAGATGTACCAGGTGCAAAAGGCATACAGGTAAAATGAAACAACAGAGTGGCTCTGAGCACGTTAAGAGTTTCAAGTTTACAGGATTCTTTGAGGGGGGAAATGTGTTACAGGCCTGCTGTGTTTGAGGCCTTTCTGCTTAGCCTACGGACTGCTGCCCTGACAGTACCACTGATTTCTGCTCCTGAAAACAAAACACATTTGATCTGAACTGAGAGGTGTGTGTGGAACCCAGCCACAAGAAAATGTTGAGTTTTGTTAAAACAATGAAGTTCAGAGGTGCCAGCTGTCATTGCTTTTCTTGACAGAAGCCCCATTTATATCCTGCCAGAAAGCAATTTGGAGATCAAGTTGCTAGTTAAAGTTCCCTTTGTTTCTCTTAAAAGCTGGTCCAACAGAGTAACTTAGAATGGAGAAAGTTAATTCACACACAGAGATTTTCCACTGAATAGGTGGTGTCAACGCTAGACAAATGCAGACTGTTATGTGGCTTAAAATGCAGTAATGTGGGATTTGATTCATATTTTGGAGTGATCATTGGAAACACTTGCGATGCTGCTGTTAATGTTCACCTCAGTTCTCAGAGCAATAAGATGGTCCAGGGGTGCTGCAGTTATTCCGGTTTGGTTTCCTTTGGAAGGAGTCACTGGAAATGTTTTTGGTGTTTAGCAGCATTGTGTTTATTTACAAAAACAAAGAGGACACTTGACAGACTTGTCCAGGGCTTCTAAACTGGTTTGACCATTTTAACAGTCCCTCTCTTTTGCAGATCCTCCTCTTACAATGATAAAATTATTGGGCTAGCAGGGATCCTGAGAAGACATTCAGCTCAACCCCAATCCTAAAACATTGGGTGAATTTCTAGAAAATTATCTGCTAGAGACTTGGTGATAGAGGTGAAGAATCCATGTTTGTATGAGAAAAGAATGTTTCCCTAAGAATGGGATGGCTTCAAAGTTTAGGAGATGTTGTTTCAGAGGGTTAATTTCATGGCATATCATCTCAACAAATATTTTTTCTTGAAATTTACAAAGACATTAAGGTAAAGAGATGGCATATGTGCCTTGATTAACCGCATGGCAGTTAAGCCAAAAAAATCACAGTAACAAAGAAATCAAAACATTCTTCACTTGCAATAGTGATCAAATTATTATCATGCTTCTCGTGTGTTGAACAGCAAGTTCCAGCCAAGGCAAGCAAAACCTTACTAGACCTCAAAGCCTTAAAAGACCTTTGAAACAGCTATGTTGAAGGTTCTGAAACAGGCAGAAATCCTTATAGCCAATTACCGTATTTTTTGCACCATAACACTCACTTTTTTCCTCCTAAAAAGTAAGGGGAAATGTCTGTGCGTGTTATGGAGGGAATGCCTATGGGTGGCATGCCTACGGATTTTCCCCCTCTAAAAACTATGTGTGTGTTATGGTCGAGTGTGTGTTATAGAGCGAAAAATATGGTATTTATGTATTGCTTGTCACTCACCACAAGCAACAAACCTCCAGAATGTAAAACAAACATTCAAGCATGCAAAATATCAGCAAAATGCAAGCAATTCAAAACAGCACAGGTGATAAAAAGCAAACAAAATCCCACAACACCTGTATAATCCTAAAAATCTTAGACCCCCAATGGAAGTTAAAGCTAACTGCCATCAGATTGAACAAACACTAATATTAAATTGTCAACATAACAACATAACATAACATACTTGCATTCAGTCCAGGGCTCAGTTTTTAGTTTCTTAGCCACAGTGTTGCCCTTGTAGGGAGGAGGATGTGAACAAAACTAGAATGAGTTGGCTCTGGCTGTCTTTGGCTCCAGCTCCCCTAAGTGTTGGGTCACCCTGCCCTCTGCCAGTCCCAAATGGCACCAACTACCACTGCCATTTTGTGTTAGGCCACACTTTCCACAACAGCCCCATAACAGCCATTTTGTGGCTGGTGCCCACGGCACTTTTTCAAAATTATATATGTGCCCACTGCCCCCAAAAGCAGTAGCGATGCATGTTCTCACATAGTAATTAGAATATTTCCCCCTAATTATTAGAATAAACTTCCCTGGGGAGGAGCTGGAAAAGCAGGTTACTGTACTTGGAACAATAAAAACTCTTTCTACTTCAGCTTTGGCTGTTTGCCAACCCAGCCCTGCTTGTCTCTATTTTAACATGTCCAGTCTTTCAGCATAGCAGACATCATTTAGCTTCTTTGACCGCTATGTCTTTCTGGAACTGTGATTGATTTGAAAAACAACCTGGAGGTTATTTGTATTCTAAAGCACTGTTAGGAATGCATACACAGGGCACCCAGTTCTGTCTTAGAAAAGAAATCAGCTAGACTTGTTATTCCCCTCTGAGTGCCTATAAAGGAATATATATCTTGATTTCATACATGCCCATACAGTGGAAAGCAAGGGCATTTTATTAATCATTTATAAAGTGCCTAAAATTTGACAGGCACCATACAGACGCCAGAAGCCCACACAAACCCTTCACTGTACTCTTTCTGGTGCCTATAAAACACATTTTTGTTTAACAAAACAAAACATGGAAAATGTTGATTTATGTTTTAATCTGCTTTTAGTTTATTGCTGGTTTTTTAAAATATAAAAATGCTTTAAATAGTTGCTTTTAACAGTTTCACCTGATGATTTGGTTGTTTTATTGTCTTTGTAAACTGCTTTGAGGGTGTTTTTTTTAAAAAAACAACAACCATCAAGCGGTGTAGATTTTATGAAATAAGTATGTAAGGCATGTTACTCATGCTAACTGAATAGCCAACAACATTGCCTTATCTCCCAGTAAACAAATCAGGAGGGGCTGCTCAATAAATGAGTTATCATATATTCTTTTTAAATTTTCTTTATTGAATTTATATCCCACCCTTGCTTCCTAAGGAGCCGAGGGTGGCAGAAAATATATATAAATATATGCATTAGGTGCACATTAATTTTTTTACCTCAGATTGCCTTTTACCATCTGCTCCCATGTTTTATGGCAGATGCCCCACACTGTCTGAGAGCAATCTGTGCTTCAAATCCTTTCCAAACTACCTTAACTTGTTATATTAATGGAGAGGGCTAATGGCACAGCTTCAGGCTGAAACAAATTACTCTCCAATATCTGTGTGTGTGCGCGCCTGTGCATACACAAACACACGCTGCTTCCCTCTTTTCTTCCTCCCCACAGGAGAGCAGGGAAGCAGGAAGAAGTTGGCTTCCTTGCCCCTTTGATCCCACAGCAGCTGCTGAGGTAAAGGGAGGTCACGGAGTTTGCTGGAAGGAACATGAATCTGGCAGCGTTCTCCTCTCCTCACGCCTGGCCAGCAACAACTCCTGCTTAGCCCCAGGTTGCTAGAAAAACGGTCTCTGCTTCCCCATCTTATTTAATTTCAGCGCTGCAAGCAAGAGGACAGTTATCACAGGAATGTGGCTCTCACACGAATTTCACAACAGGCATGCGGAACCTGTGGCCCTCCCGATGTTGCAGGACTCCTAGCTCCCATCACCCCCTGAACCAGTGTGGACAGTAGTTAGGGATGATGGGAACTGGACTCCCAACAGCCTAGGGAGGTCCACAATCTCCTCGTCCCTGGGTTGGACCAAAGATAGGGATAATCTAGCAGTCACATCGGGTGACGGTCCATTGCTCAGTAGCAGAGCACATGTGTTGCATGCAAAGGGGCTGATGTCCAATTTCTGTCTTCTCCAAGGATCAGGTAGGAGGCATAGACAGGTTCCTGGGAGAACAGCGTGTAGATCTAGCTGGGACTCACTCTTTGGTCTGATCAAGCAGGCCTCTCCTCAGTAAAGGTCACCTTGCCTGTCAGAGTAGACAATATATGGACAAAATGGGCAAATAGTCTGAAAGGGACATGGGTGGCGCTGTGGTCTAAACCACTGAGCCTCTTGGGCTTGCTGATCAGAAGGTCGGTGGTTCGAATCCCCATGACGGGTTGAGCTCCTGTTGCTCTATTCCAGCTCTTGACAACCTAGCAGTTCAAAAGCACGCCAGTGCAAGTAGAGAAATAGGTTCTGCTGCAGCGGGAAGGAAAACAGAGTTTCCGTGTGCTCTGGTTTCCGTCATGGTGTTCTGTTGTGCCATAAGTGGTTTAGTCATGTTGTCCACATGACCTGGAAAGCTGTCTGTGGACAGACACCAGCTCCCTCAGCCTGAAAGTGAGATGAGCGCTGCAACTCCATAGTCGCCTTTGACTGGACATAACCGTCCAGGGTCCTTTACCTTTTACCTAGTCTGATTGGGTATTAAAGCAGCTTCCTATGTCCATCATTTTGGGGTTCCAACTGGATACCTGCAAAGCCCCCACATTTTTAGTGGGGTAGCACTGTAGAAGGGTGTGTGTAAGAGTCACCACCATTAAAAAGACGAGGAGAAAGCATTATGAGAACTCAAGGACACATTCCAGCTAGGCCAATGCTCAAAAGGTCCACGATGCAAGCAGGGCCAGTGAGGGGAGTGGCCTGTAGGGTGTCTCAAGGGCCAGAAAGAGATGCCTCGAGGGCCACGTTTATCCCTCCTACGCTACAGTCTTCTACTAATTTGTTCTTCACGCATTCCTGTGAGGTAAATAGGACATCAACATTCCCCTTTTATATAGCCAGAACTAAGACGCAAAGAACTCCATGGAGAAAGGGAAGACATACAAATAAGATAAATGCCTATAAAAAAACCAATCAAGATAAATTAATTTTTGTTTTTTAAGCACAAAGAAAACGAAAGATGTTACATTTTTTTAAACACGCAATGGTTATGGTCCTTTTATTAGGAAAGTGCCAATGTCAAATTAAGGAGAGTTTGTACATAGCATCATTCTATATTTGGTTCAATTTACAGACATAATCAATAGGGAACATCATAACTTCTTAAAAATTGTGAAGTTATGAATATATTGAAGCCAGTTCACACAAATATATTAAGGCACAGCAGAACATTAGTTATATTCAGAGAAAGTTATTCAGTTTGGGAAACAGTTTCTGTGCATTCTGGGTTGTTATGCCTATAACTTCTTCCACTGAAATCCCTTTTATTTTAGCAATGTATTCTGCAGCAATGAAGATGTTCTTTGGTTCATTTCTCACCTGAAATACAAATAAGTGACATTGGTCTCCAGTGACATCTATGGCCAACTCAGTTTCTGTTTAGGTTCAAATCCTCGTACAATCGTAGAGTTGGAAGGGATAATAATACTAATAATAATAATAATAATAATAATAATTTATTATTTATACCCCACCCATCTAGCTGAGTTTCCCCAGCCACTCTGGGCGGCTCCCAATTGAGTATTAAAAACAATACAGCATTAAAGGGGCATCCAGACCAACCCCTGAAATGCAGAAATCTTTTGCCCTACGTGGGGCTTGAACCCATGACTCTGATATTAAAAGTCCCATGCTCTACCGACTGGGCTACCTTGTTGTGCTCTGGCTCTTATTAACGGCACCATTCTTTTTATCCACCTTTGAAACTGACCCTTTTATGATATTCATGACTGAGCCCTTTACAGAGGTTGAGGCCCAGTAGGTCAGCCTATTGCACTCAAGCCTCCATTTACTCTACCCAGCCCTTTCCCAACACTGTCAAGACCTCTTGAGATCTCCTCCCAACTGTAGTTGTTTTGCCACACCATCACTCGGCATCTCAAGCCACTTCTTCCCAAACAGGATTGTGCTCATAAACTGTGTTGCAAAAGTTGGCTGGCCATCTGTCATGGGTGCTTAGCTGAGATTCCTGCGTTCTGGGGCTGAACTAGATGACCCTCAGGGTCCCTTCCAACTCTACAATTCTACGATTCTATGATACTTTACCTGTTTCTCAGGGCCAAGCGCAGGAGAGTCAGTTTCTAAGCAAATGTTTTCTAGGGGCAACTGTTTCACCAGTTTCTGCTTCTTGAACAAAATAAGGAAACCAATTAGCATCATCATTCTCCAAGCAGCCAAAATAAACATTTAAAAAGCTGAACTGTCCACAGATTAAATAAGTGTTTAGTTTACCCAAATAATTAAATATTAATACTGCCAAAGCTTGAATACAAATGCTTTTTCTGAGGACAGTGGGGAAAAAATTGTTTATTAAATTGTATATTGCCAATAATTGGAAGCAGTTGTTAATGTCTTCTTTTCCATTCCTTATTTTCAGTGGCAGGAGAACCAAAATAGCTTCAAAAATAAGTGTCCTCATCTCCTACAGGTTAAAGAAATCAATCAGCTAAAGCAGAGGTGGAAAATCCTTCTGGCTCCATGCACCAGATTTGAGATATGAACAAAGAACCTTATAGCCAGAAGCCAGGACTTCTTGACTCTCACCTGTTCACTCCTTATAATAGACGGAGGAATGGAGAAAAAATACCCAGCCTTCACCCCTTCCATTGCCACTGACGGCTTGCCATCAAACGCATGGAGCAGCACCCTTTCAGCACCTAAGGAGAACGACAGAAATCAGGAAAAGAACTTTTGCTTCCTGTAGAAACATCAAAGCGCAGACCAGGCAGGGAATGTGATCCAAAGATCCACAGGGCTATAGAAAAAGCTAGAGGCGCACTTGTGGAATGCGTCTCTGTGAACGGGTTTATATCCCTTTACAATATAGTAATGTTATATTTGGCTGTGTGATCTCCTGACTTGCCTGGCATGACTCTGACCCAAACCCCAAAATGCAGCCAGCTGACTGCTGGCAGGTCCAGCTGCACTGGCTGCCAGCACGTTTTTGCAGAACAGGTGTTGATCTGCAAAGCCCTGTACGGCCTAGGACTCCGATATCTTTCAGGGCATCGCCCCCAATATAAACCTACCCAAACCCTTCTATCTTCATCTGAGGCCCTCCTCTAGGTGCCCCTTCAGAGGGTGGTGTGGCATTCGTACAGAGCCCCCGGTCGTCTCACGGACTATTGACCCATACACCACTAATCTGCTGCCACCAACCAGGTCCTCCCCGGTAAATCACTTAGTCTCAGTCAGGTTATTAAGTTAACAATGAAGATTGTAGTTTATTGCAAACACAAATAAACTTTAAATGCATTCGAAACGCTGTTACCCTTTATCCTATTAGTCTTATTTTATTCTGTCTCTAACTCTTCTACCTCCCCTCACACAAGAACCAACTGCACTAACTGTCTCTCTATTTCCATCTGTCTGCCAACTGCTTTCCCAAATGCCTTTTCCCAACCAACCAACTAATCAACTGTCTAAACCTTGGGCTAAGCCCTTTTATAAACAGCCCTCTGGCTTTTCTATTGGTCTACCTATTAACTCTTTCTCTCCCCCTGTACAGACATTTTCAAAAGAACGGGCAAACGCCACAGGTGGCAATAAGAGAGAGGGCACTTTTAGTTGTGGCTCTCAGCTTGTGGAATGCTTTCGAGGTCTGCCTGCCAACACCATTAGCACCCTTTCGGCCTGTGGTAAAAATGTATATCCTCTCCGAGGCATTTGACCGACTGTGTCCTGCTGCTTATTGATGAAATGTTTTCTGCTGATGATGTTTCTGCTATTTGCTGGGTCACTGTGATGGCTTTATTGCATTTCCCCCTAGTTTTATGCTATGTCTTCATCTCTTAAGCCTTTGCCAGTTGCTTACAGACCTTTTTGGAGTAAGCAACTAGTAAGTCAAATAATAGTATTAACAACAACAACAACAACAACAACAACAACAACAACAACAACAATAATAATAATAATAATACCATCACCTAAAGATAACTTCCTTCTAAAATATAGTGCCCAGGGCCTTCAAAAACCTATGCTTGTGCCTCTGATTGAGAAGGCTCTGGATCTTATGCCAAAACAGATGTGTAATATTGGCTGAGCCTGAATAGCTCAGTTGGTTAGAGTGTGGTGCTGATAACGTCAAGGTTGCAGGTTTGATCCCTGTATGGGACATCTGCATAGTCATGCATGGACTTCCAACTCTACAATTCTATGATCCTATTTCAGGTCCGCTTCTTGTTTCTGGTCTAACATCCAAAGGGGAAAAACCTGACTGTCCCCCACAGTGAATAGGCCCTGTGTATTTTGGCAAGAAAACTAAACAAACCGAATGAATGTAAATAAAACAAAACATTATACCTTGTTCCTTTAAGAGGTTAATGGTTGGCCTTCCAGCTGAGCGGGAATGGACATTTCTAGGATAAATAAGAAGAACAAAAGATATCCGCAGGAGTTGTTAGCAAAACTGTGGGCTGGGTTTTCATGGCCGGATAAACCACTTCCCTGGGTGGAGTTTTAGCATTTTTTATGCGATTAAGCGTGAATCAAGTTACATTTTTTAACTCTGTTTTTATCTACCCCAAGCCTTCAGAACAGGACTATTAAAATTATGTAAACAAATAAATTGCACTTTGATGGTCCACTGAATTGCTGCTTAAAGCAAAATAGGTAGGAAGAGTTCTTGCAAAGTGCCTGGAAACATCTCAAAAGAACTATGCAAAGATTATACAGCAACACAGCCTGTAACCCTGAAAATACAGCAAAATCACTTCCTCTATTAATACGAGGAATAGATAATACAATAAACTGCAGTAATAATTTTAATTAGACCACTGCATTTTAGACAATGCTCTGGTTTAATTAGCAACTGAATTCCAATCACGTCAAATGACGTTTTCATTCACAAAAATAAAACTAATTGTCTCTCTTGCAACATACACAAGACCTACAAAGGCAAATTGAGTTGTTTTGCCAGCTGTATCTGCTTGATCAAGACTTGTCTTTGCCCTTCCTTCTGCTCGTCAGTGCTTGCAAATCTGGGAGTGAAATCCAGACCAACCTGCAGGAAAAATGGGAGGCGGGAATTCAAAAACACTGCTAGAAATTGTTGTTTTACTTTGTCTATCAGCACAAAATGCACTCAGCTAGGAGCAATAATAAAAGCAAACTCGACCCCAAAGTCTCCTAAAGCAGTTTACACTTAACAAGAAATGTATTATTGAAGACCTGCTATTTTTGTGAAACACCCAAGGTCCTTAATCAAGCATTTAATCAGCAGTCCAATATATTGACTTGTGAAAAAAGCCAAGAACTTGCTTAAAGTTTAAAGGGCTATTTCTGACATGACACAATTTCTACATCAAAAATATTTCCCTTGTATGAAAAACTGTGCCACTCACATGCAGATCATCGCATGTGACAACTGCATATATGGGTGGTATAAGAAACAACATGTATAACATATGTTAAAAATATTTATTTTAATTATTTATATCCTTATATGAAACATAATTATATAGGATGGACACAGATATACATTATTTCAGTGTGTGCACACTTCCTGGAACACTATAGCTCAGGCTTCCTCAACCTTAGCCCTCCAGATGTTTTGAGACTACAATTCCCATCATCCCTGACCACTGGTCCTGCTAGCTAGGGGTCATGGGAATTGTAGGCCAAAAACATCCAGAGGGCCGAGGATGAGGAAGCCTGCTATAGCCCATCACAGCTTCCCAGAACATGTTCTATACTCAGCAAATTACATGTGGGGTTTTTCGTCATGCAAATATCTACACAACAAGCATTTCACATTGTTTTGTGAACCGCCAACACAATCCTCTAAGTGCCTAATTAGAAATAAGTCCCACTGATTTCAATTGGATTTACTCCCAGTTTACATGTGCATAGGAGTGTAGCCTAAGGTTGAAGTCCTATGCACACTTACCTGAGAATAAGCCGTACTGAGCATAGCGGGACTTACTTTTGGGTAAACATGCAGAGGATTGTGCTGTGTAGCTGTAATCCTAGGGACCTGCAAGTAAAAACATTTAGGGTTGTGCTGCCCAGTGCTTTTGGCAGCTGATTACCAAAGGCTATAAAGATTCTACTTACTTCTCCGATAGCCAACAAGCGGTCCTTATAGAGTTCTATGAGTGGCAATGCTTCGTCCAGATCCTGCACAAAGATCTTGTGTAAGTGTGAAATGAACACTTAGGCCTCAAACAATTACAGTGGACTCAGATGTCTGCTTCACCTCCCACCACTGTTTCTCTCTCCTATTCCTATTTTATAACCCACTTTTCCTCATACATTCCTGCAACTTGTGTACATTTAACTTGTGTGCATTCAGCTTTATATGTGTGGCAATTAAATAATTTTTTTAAAGGGGGCGGGGTTCTGGGGAAAATGACTTTGGCAATCCCACCCACCATTGAACCCAATGGGTTTTGGACCATTTGGGATTTAGGCATGATCCCTGGAACGTAACCCCCATGCAAGCTGTGGGCCTACAGTATTTAAGTAAGACACCACAGATGTTTTAACACATCTTTCTTGGATCATAGTTTTGTTCTTTGCTAATTGCAATTCTGTATTGCTAAAGCAATGCTATTTTGCTGTACGCAGTGCCTTTTCCTTGACCTGTTTAAGTTAGGTCTGCGACGTCAGCCTGACAAACTCCGTAATCTGGGTTGTGGCATATAAATTTAAGGCAGGGATAGTCAATATGGCCCCCTCCGGTTGTTGTTGGACTCACAGCCCAAACACCCAATGGTGAAGGATAATGGGATTTCAGCTGCACATTCCAAGCTAAACACATTGTAAGTTTACTTAAGAGCAGGGACAGCGAACCTGTCCCCTACACCTACCCACAGATGTGGCTGCACTATAATACTCAGCACCCTTGGCCACAGACTATGGTAGCTGAGGCTGTGGGGAGCTAGAGCCTAACTACACCTGAAAGAGTTACAGGTAGGTAGCCGTGTTGGTCTGCCATAGTCGAAACAAATTAAAAAGTTCCTTCCAGTAGCACTTTAGAGACCAACTAAGTTTGTTATTGGTATGAGCTTTCGTGTGGTATCTGAAGAAGTGTGCATGCACACGAAAGCTCATACCAATAGTTGGTCTCTAAGGTGATACTGGAAGGAATTTTTTTATTTTGTTACACCTGAAAGACTACAGATTCCCCATCCATGATTAAGAGGCAGGCTATGTGCACCGTTAATCACACTAGGATGCTTCAGGTTGGTTACTTTTATTTTGAAGACACAGGTACAGGCCCCCACCTGGAGCATGCTTCCTATCTGGACTGTACCCTACACTAGTTTCCTCGATGAAAATTATTATAGGGAACCTGTGCTCCCCCCTCCAGATGCTGCTGAACTACACTCCATCACCTCTAGCCAGACTTTTGAAAAGCATGTCTTGTTTGCTCTCCAAGGTACTATTGAAAATCACCTCTTGACAACACATCCCTGCTCTGAAGTAAGCTTGTCATGCATCTACCTTGGAATTATGTGAACCTCCTTTGATGAGAGCTAAGTTGTAGATCTTGCTTAGACGCCTAAAAAAGGATGGGAAGTTATTTTGCCTAGCACCAATTTTTATTTTCTTTCTGATACTCCTTTGAGGATACCTCTAGTTTGCTCTGGGAGAGCAGGAGACAGGGAAGAAGGGGCTCAGTATACAAAAATAGTGACCACTCTATTGCTGCAAGACCACATGCAATAGGAACAGATAAGTTTACCTGGCAAACTGAAAAACAGTACAGAAATTGTTAACTGCTACAATTGTAACTGGTTGCCATTTCACCTTTAATGAAACACTGCGATCGTTTCCCGTTGGACTACTTTGAACTGGATGGATGCCCAGACATGGAAAGACAAATCCTGGGTACCTGGATACAAACATGTGTTAAGTAATGGGAAAGGGCAGACATGTATTATGGTTAAATAAAAAGAAAGAGGACTGAAAAGGTAACAGCTTTTGCTATTCCAATCAACACTACAACTAAGATTTTATTGCTCCTATTTTGATTGCTTATGAACAATAGCATTTTCAAATTTTGCACTCTGACCGTGAATGTCTCTTAAAGCACCATTGTTTTATTTACTATAACATCTTTCACATAAAACAATACCGGAAGACGTTTATTTTATGAGATAGTGACAAGCTCTGAAGGAGTGTCTCCACCCCCATTGTTCAGCCCAGGCACTGAGGTCCAGCTCCAACGGCCTTCTGGCATTTCTTTCACTGTGAGAAGTGAAGTTGCAGGGAACCAGGCAGGTGGCCTTCTCGGTAGTGGCGCCCACCCTGTGGAACGCCCTCCCATCAGATGTCAAGGAAATAAACAACTATCTGACTTTTAGAAGACATCAGAAGGCAGGCCTGTTTAGGGAAGTTTTTAATGGTTGATGTTTTACTATGTTTTTATATCTGTTGAAAGCTGCCCAGAGTGTCTGGAGAAACCCGGTCAGATGGGTGGGGTACAAATAATAAAATTATCATCATCTCACAATGTAATTTTGACTTAAACCAAAAACAGTTACCATGCAGCATGACAGAACTGTCATATGAGAAGCAAAATCCAAAGTATCTGGATGTGCTGAACAAGTTGTTCATCTTTTTGGATTCTAGCCTGTAACTATTTTCTACCTTGTGAAACAGACTGAAGAACTAGAAACTTCGTTACCTTTCTGAAAGTTGAATAATTTTTTCAAAATCTTCTGTGTATTCAGCAACTACCACCAGAGCCAAAACTTTACACTGAAACAACGTGGAAAAATGTTAGCTAGAGTTGACAACAACAATGAGAAGTCTTACAATCTGATCATAAACACATCTGTTTGAAATTACTGATTTTGCCATATCTTCCTTCCTATATTTCCTGTATTTCCCATATCTACCTTCCTGTTTCTTAGTTTACCTTAAAATGGCTTGGCCTTTAGGAGAAGTTAACTCAAGGAAGTTCATGGAAGAAAAGTTTTCCATCCCCTTCATAACTGCTACAGGTACCTGAAACCCCTCAAAAAGCCTTTCCAGAAAGGGAGGGGAGCTTCCTGAACAATGTGGGATGGAGTGTGGGGGCTGCTGGGGGGCTCCATGAACTTCCTTACTTATCTTAGGCTCCAAACTCGATTTTGGTAGAATCTTCTTTCCCCAGCAACTCATTCCCTGTTGCTCAGGAGGGGTCCTGATCATTCAGAGATGATTTCAGGGGGTGCAGAGGATTGCAGAAGAGAGGTGGGGACAGACAACTTTCCTTCAATTAACTTCCTTAAGTTAATTTACCTTAGTATACAAACTAAGCCCTTGAGCTATCAAAATCTATAGATCTACTACCTATAAAACTTTAACTGCAAAAAATATATAGATATAACTACAAACCTTTTTTGCTTCTTCCAATACACTTTCAATGTCCTAGAAGATATTAAAAATATAATTATGCTAGCAGAATAATTTGTAAAGAAGGGGAGAAAGCAGTAGAAATGGCAAATGTGTCCTTTCTTTTTCAATAACTCTTTGCACCTAAAAGTTGTCAAACGTTACTTATTTAAACCACCACTGTCCCTTCTTTCAAACAGAAGGAAAGCTATTACTACTACAACTACTCATTAAAGTGTTTTTCCTTTTCAATTCATATATTCAGGTACAGATAAGGGCAAACAAATGCACGTGCATTTTGCAAAAGTAAAATGATCCCCCCCGCCGGTTTTATGTTATATGGGACCATAGATGAGCAGTTTACATTTTTACTGATCAGCGCTGGAGACTTCTATCCCCTTTCACACGGGGACTGAAGTAAATTCAGATGTCCCCAACTGCAAGCTCTTGCTGGGATGAATAACTGCAGGAGGAGAGGGGGCTTTTCATAGAATCAAAGCTGGAAGGCCCCAAGGGGCTCGAAACCACGACCCTGAATGTCTCGTGCTCTACCAACTGAGCTATTTCACCTGCACATCCTCCCCGGGGAGGAGGCATGTTAATTGTAGCTTTACTTGGTAAACAAATACTGCTTTCAATCTGGAAAAGAAATATGTTTTATTAATGTCAGACATTAAGTAATTCATACTGAAGGAAGCTAGTAGTAGATAGCATGTGACTTTATGCATGTGTATAGGGAAGTTTGTAACGTTTGGTGTTTTATTATGCTTTTATATTGGTCAACAAAAGAGGGTGAAAGACCGTCTCAAGGCAAATCTAAAAAAATGTAGTATAAACACCGACAACTGGGAAACACTGGCCTGCGAGCGCTCCAGTTGGAGAACAGCGTTTTCCAAAGGTGTCATGGACTTTGAAGACACTCGAACTCAGGACGAAAGGGAGAAACGTGCTAAGAGGAAGGCACGCTTGGCAAATCCACACCGTGTTCAACTCCCACCGGGAAACCTACCGGTATGTCCCCACTGTGGAAGGACGTATGGATCCAGAATTGGCCTCCACAGTCACTTACGGACTCATTGTTAAAACCGCGTTTATGGAAGACAATCTTACTCGGCTACGAGTGATCGCCAAAGATATTCTGGAAGTTTTTGACATTTTATTATGTTTTTATATTCTGCTGGAAGCCGCCCCGAGTAGCTGGGGAAACCAAGCCAGAGGGGCGGGGTATAAATGATAAAATTATTATTATTATAGGGGTTAGCCACCGTAGGAAACCGTAAGAAATGGGTCGCTGGACCAGATGGGTCCTCGATCTCACCTAGGGAAACTCTTATGAGATGAGAGGGAGAAGGAATTATAAGCGGCGGCCAACCGCAGGGTGGAAACCGCGCCGCGCCGCCCACTCACCCCTCGGAACTCGGGCGCGGCGAGGTGGCAATGGCAGTCCACCGCCCCCATCCCGACGACGCGCGCGGAACCGAACGCCTAGGGGGCTTCGCTTTCCAGCCGGACCTATTTTGCCGAAGCTCCCTCTCTCGCGCGCGCGCACAGCCAACCCGCCTTTCAATACGGCTCGGCTTAGCACTGCTTCCGGTTGAGGGAGGGAGATAAAAAAAAATCAACGAACGGTTTATCCGAGAGAGCGGGAAAAAGGCAGGCCGAGATGGAGGAGGCGCCGCCGCCGCCACCGGCTGCTGCTGCTTCCCCTCGGGACTGCCGGGTGCGGTGCTGCTCGCGGCGCCAGACGGCCGAGTTGTTGGACTACTGCCAGCCTTTCGTGCGGAAGCTCGGGGAGGGCCAGCCGGTGGAGGCCGAGAGCTTGGAGCAGGCCGTGGTCGAAGCGATCTGGGTAAGGGCGGCCCAGCTGAAGGGGCGGCTGGGAAGGGGGAGGCCCACACGACACCCCCCCCCCCACACAACTACAGCTTTCGGGCGGCGCGGGTTGCCCAGTTTCTAAGGCGTGTCAGATCCAAAATCATTTCTCTCCATTGCGTGTCATTGAATTGCTTGTGGAGCCTTGTTCTGTGGTGCTGAGATGTTTGGTGCAATAATTTCTTCTTTAAAAACTGTTACTTTTCCATATATAATAGAGTATTATTCTTATTTATTCTGCCTTTTCGTCCTGACAGGGGGTCAAGGCGGCTTTAAGATAAAAGAGAAACAGATCGTTGCAATACAAACATCACAGCTCTAGCTGTTTCCTTAAATATAATTTTAAATGCAGTAAACCACAACAGCAGCTAGCCGTGTCATTTTTTGAGGTGGGAACAGGGGAAGCATATTGGCAGCTTAAAAACAGAACCATGACTTAAATGCATGTTAAAAGCTCCCATCCAATAAGTCTCTCCGGATGTTTCCTCTGAGGCAGTGCTGTTTTTCTAGAAAAAGAGGTGCTGGCGCTCGCAATGAACGCCTCCCTTGTTCTCCTATAATGGCAATGGCACCCACCTGAGAGGTGCCGGTACTGAGTTCCAGTGAGTTCTGGCTGGGGGGGAAAGCCCTGGTCTGAGGAGGTTGTCTTGATTTCTTGCTTCTCATCTCATAAGGAGATGAATGGATGCCAGGTGTAAAAGTATAGAGGACTCATCTTGACTCTGGCAAGACCATACCTGCGAGTATCAGGAATTTATTGACAGGCCTGCTGCAGAACATCAGCATTTAGCAATTTCTAAATGAGCAGCGACCAACAAAAACGTCATTATCTCCTGATGAGTTACATGTTGATTTGATTCACCCATTATTCCTAACAAGACTAACAAAGGAGTTGGGTTTATCTTTGTATTTGCAATAATCCCTGACAAGGTTCTTTTACCTTTAATATGGCATCACAGGTTTTTTTGCTTTTTTAAAGAATCTATTTATTTGTTTTTAGTTCATTTCCCCACACTTTTCTGTAAAATCAGCCAAAGATATAGATAGGAAGTAGATAAATGTATATATATTTAAATATATAATTTTGACAATAAACAACCAGTAGTATTGAAACAGTATGAACATGGATGGAACCGGAAAACATACAGAAAATGCTTGTTTGAATAACAAGGTTCTCAAGAAAGGGAGCCCATCAGACCACCCCAGGGAGGATATTCCACAGGTGGGGTGCTGCAACTGAGAAGGGACTGAGGTGCTGTCCTTGGTACCTGTCAAATAGATTTCCAGGGCAAATATTTCAGAGACCAGGGCCTTTGATGCTGATCATAAGGCGCTAGAAGGCTCATATGGGTGAAGGTGGTCTTTTAAGGTTAACCCAATATATAACATTAATTCTGGAAATGAATGAAGTTATAATTCAGTGGTTGAAGTTTCATGAGTCCTCCTTTCAGTGCTAGGAAAAACAGCCCCTGTAAATTTTCATGGTTCCAGGATCTGGTTAAAATAGTGATATTATAGATGGCTATTGTATAATTCTATTTAAAAAATTGCTTTTTCTAAATGTTTAAAGTAGTTCACATACAGTGTATTACAGTGAAAGTATACATGTTTATTTGGAAATCCAATTGTGTTAAGTGAGGCTTATCCTTGGCTTAGTAGGTAGGTTACTTTAGGAGTACAGCCTTTGTGATTCTTGCAGCAGACGTATTGACTAGGCCAGCACTATCGCCTATATTACAGGGTTGTATTCTTTCTCTTCAAAGTGAACCGAAGTATGTTATATTCCACTTCTCTCTGCTGTTTCCCCTAATTTGTTTTCCTTACCAACATAAAGGCACTGTTTGCATTTTTTGGCTCCAAAATGTTTTGGGTCATTCTTCTGAGTCTGCATGAATTGGTTGTAAAAAGGATGTGAAATATATTCTCTGTTCAGCCTTATCTGTTTATGAAGGCCTTTTCCTATGGTACGGTTGGCGTATTATTGGGGGGGTGGTGCTGTTACAGACATCCTTACTTAGGATGGGTGCTGGATAACATGGCTACTATTTATGTGTGTTTGTTGGTTAAATCCCTCTCTGTAGTCCCACAGCAGGGGCTTTGATTTAACTGTTTGTGGAAGCATGCTTGTGAAGGGACTCTGTGACCACTCAGTCCTTGCCCAGAAGAACTAAGAAAGAATGAGGCACTTTTAAAACAAAACAGGAAGTTTATTTGTCTGCGCATAAAGAGGTTATAGTTTAGTGGTTACTTTTGCAAGGCACAATACTTTGTTTCAAATAGACACTCTCAACAGAGATGGTTAATAACTATCTTAACACTTCCATCCTGTAAGTGGGCAGAGAAATTCTTTCTAGGATGGTTATTGTTTTACACTATACATAAAACACTTCCTGCTTTTCCTATAGTCCAAACCTTCCCCTCAGGTAGATCTTTGTGTGCCCACAGATAATCTTTGTCTGTTTCCACTGACAGATAAAACCTAAGTCCACTCAGATAACCAGAGATTCCTTCTGCCTACCCAAATAGAAAGTCCCTAACCTGAAACCCAGGTCCCTGTCCCTTTCGGACTGTTAAGTGTAAGCATCTATTCCACACTCTCTCTCCTGAGTGGCTGAACTACTAGCCATCTCCCACTGGTTGTTGGGTCACCAGGAGGCAGACCCAAGGTCTGTCCACCACAGCCTCTGTCTCCAGAGTAATGTGAGCCAGCTTTTCTCCATAGCTCGCTACTTTATGCTACACAGAAGTAGAAAAAAAGATGACAGTATGAGGTAGTTTATGGAGTGTTATATTGCATCAATAGATTAATTAGCATTTTTAAGAGTTCTGATGTATACATTTTCTACAGAATTTCGAAACAGCTGTACAAGAGAATATTACTGTTAACGGACTCCCATGGCAGGAGTCATCAGATGATCCTCAAAATGGTATGTGAACTTTTGAATATATTTTTCTTATTTCTGTGCTGACTTATTTATGTTTTAGTCTTCTGCCTATGAACCCCAACAAATGTATGAACAGAGGGTATCTGCAGGTGCCTTTTAATATACTGGTCCCCTGGCGAATAGACATTTTGTTGTGGCAACCGCAACCCAGCTTTAAGGTGCCATTTGGCACCTAGCTTAAATATCTTGAGTTTCTAACAGTGGTTGGGAACCGTATTTTTAGGTGAGGCAAAAGGATATGTGTAAGCTGCCAGACTCCAAAAATAACTTTTTATAATTTTTAAGTGTACCTGAAGCAATAGGAACATCTGCAGGGAAGTTGCATTAATTTTTTGTCTTCAATTGATGAATCTTTTGATATTCTTTTATCACCAATTGTACAATACAATGTTAATAATAATAAGTTTGTGTTTTTTAAAAATATTGTCAGGTTTTGTTATTACTATATTTGTACTATTTGTAGGACTAAAAAAGCCCCCAAAACTTCCTTTTCCCAGGATTTTCTTTTTTTTTTTTTTGGTGTTACCATGTTTGTCCAGCAGGGGATGCTCAAAATACATCCTTGGCAGTAGCAGTACCTCTGTTTAAGAGGGATAGCTAAGTTAGTCTTTTGCAGCAAAATCAACAAAAAGTCTTGTGGCATCTAAAAGACAAACAAGCTTATTATGCCACAGGTTTGTGAACTAGAGGAAGTAGATTCTGGCTTATTATAATAATAAATGCTCTTTGTGCTTTATTCATCTACCTTACCTAGAAGCTGGTCTGTTAGCCATTTCTTTGGAAATAATTTAATTTTTGAGTAAATCTTCTAAATTAGATGCCTGGTTTTTAGAATGGAAGTACAGCTAAAGGTTTTGCTGTCTTAATTTAATCACTCGTTGCTATGAACCTGCTACCACCTGTTGGGAACAAGAAATAACTATAGCTAAAAACTTTGCTGTCTCTAGGTGTGTGGGTTTTTTTTAATGCAACTTACTTTGATGGCATCTCCCTTTTGAAGCTGTTGTTTTCTAGTCAGATGAGGTAGATAGCCTTCTGTTCCAGTTCCCTCACCACCCCAATTAGCAGTTACAGCATTGCGGTAGTTGTGAACTGCAACTTTAATTGTACCTAAAGTTGCCCAGTTCTACAACTTGGTGTATCCATCTTCTCTGGTCCTTCTCTGCTTTAAAATGTGCTGATCAGATCAAACCTAGAGTCCTGTTTCTAGTTCTGGGTACCACAGTTTCAAGGAGGGCACTGACCATTTGGAGTGTTCTCAGTGGAGGGCAACCAAGATGGTGAAAGATCTGGAAACCAACCCAAATCCTTATGAGGAGCAGTTGAAATGATTCATTATGTTTAGCCTCAAGAGGAGAAGATGAAGGGGTGCAGAGGAGACACGCATGACAGCAGTCTTTCAAACATTTGACAAGTTGTCATACAGAAGGCTATGCTCTGCCGCCGCAGATGGAGGTAGTTATGCTTCTGAATACCAGTTGCTGAAAGCAGCAGGAGGGAAGGGTGCTCTTGTGTTCAGGTCCAGCTTGTGTGCTTTCCACAGGCATCTGGTGAGCCAGAGTTAGAATAGTATGCTGTTTTAAATGGACCATTGGCCTGATCCAGCAGGCTCTTTTGATGTTCTTTAGATGGAGCAGAATTGCATCTTTGCTCCAAGGCACAGGACTAGAACCAATAGATGGAAATTTTAGGGAAGCAGATTTCTGCTGCTCATTAGTAGAACCTTTCTCAGAGTAGCTCAACAGTGTTCAAAAGCTGTTCAACAGTGGAACAGGCCACCTTGAGAGGTGATGGACTATCCTACTCAGGAGGTATCTGAGCTGAGGCTAAAGAGCCAACTCTCAGGGATGCCTCCTGCATTGAGCAAGTAGTTGGACGGTTTGACCTGCATCCCTTCCAACTCTATGATTCATAGTTCCGCATATCCCTGATCAAGATGGAGTCAAGTACAGTGGTACCTTGGTTTACAAACTTAATCCGTTCCAGAAGTCCGTTCCTAAACCAAAGCATTCTTAAACCAAGGTGTGGTTTCCTATAGCAATGGGGGACTCAATTTACAAATGGAACACACTCAACATGTTCTGTTTCCAAGGCAAAGTTCACAAACCAAAACACCTACTTCCGGGTTTGCTGCGTTCTTAATCCAAGTTGTTCTTAGCTGTTCTTAAACCAAGGTACCACTGTATAATACATCTTTCAATTTTTAGTTCTTACGGTAACTGAAGATAACCTTGTGTTTCTCAGGGAATGGGGTGGGCAGATACCTTAACCATGCATTTCTCAAAGCTCCTTGGGGAATCTTTAAGACCACTGCGCTTGGAAGAGGAAACATTTTTTGCAGAGATATTGCAAACAAGACTTTCACATAGATTGTCCAAATAATTTTACATACCATATATTCATATCTGTCTTGTGAATTAGATACGGATATCAAACTCCTTGAAGATCAGCTTGATGAGTTAATAGTGGAGGTGGCATCCAAACGCAATCAGTATCCCAGAAAAATTCAAGTGCATGTGGTCCAAGCACTTAAAAGAAAGCAAGAGTTATTGGTGAGTATCCTTAATTCTTAGTTCACTTGATGCATTTCAAAAGAAGAATGTTGTTCATCTGTTGCTTATGAGTAGGCCAGCAGATACTTTTGAATGTTAGAAAGAAAATGTAAATTCCAACTTTTAGACTACATGAATTCCTCTCCCTTAATTTCGCTGTTAGGGAGATCATGCCAACAATTGCTGTGAGGATTGATGAAGTTTGTGCTGAGTGCACACTTGCCCTACAAATGTATTTTAGAATAATACCTTTAAAACTGGTTTTTCAATGCAAGTTTATTTTTGTACCACCAGAATATGTTAAATGCTTCTTGGGGGAAAATGTTCTACTGATCTCAAGTGTGAAGTGACACTTCTTTTGGTAGTGCGCATAGGGCCAAAGATATGGTTTAGCATGTCCAGGATATGGTTGCAATTAATTTCTCTTTCTCTGCATCTTCTTGGGGCACATCAGTCCTTCTATCCTGAGTCTAATTTTTAAAAGTGCAGAGTGTATAAACATTAGTTCCAACTTTGCCATTGAGTGCTGAGTCGAATCCTTAAATTGAAGGTATTGATGAGTTATAAACTATCACAGTATCTGATTCTGCTCCTTGCACCCATCCTGCAGGTTTTCCACTGGTGAGCATATTTGGCTAAATGTTGCTCTCAAGAATGTATCTAGTGAAATGCCATCAAATTTAAGTTTACCAGATGGACATAATAATGAATAGATAGTTCCTAGCTGCACTGTGTCTTCTGTTCCTTACTGTTTCCCTGCTGCAACTATTTTAACCTCTCAGATGCCAGCTGTGTGCAAGCTACTTTTCAGTAAAGAAAAGCTTTCCCCGTTTCCACTCTGTATTTTTTATTTTATTTTATCAGCACATGTTGAAAGCTCAGATTCTGTGTGCCTCTTACACCAGGCTCGTAATCATACTGCTATACTGTAAGCACAAACAGTTTGTATGAGATAATGCACAACTGGGTCATCAAATCTTGGTGACCAAGAAGTGATCTGTGGGACAGAAAAGATGCCTGCACTGGTTCTTTGATTTTGATTTTAAGAGAGAAGGAGGTGGCATACAGTGAAGCTGTCAGTGGTTACTAGTTATGATATTCACCTTCCACTGTTGGAGGCAGAATGCCACTGAGTGAATACCACTTGCCAAGAAACACAAGTGGGGAAAGTGACCGTGCTCTCAGGTCCTGCTTAGGGGCCTCTGTCTGGCATCTGATTGGCCACTGTGAGAACAGGATGCTGGACTGTAAGGACTGTTGGCCTGTTTCAGCAGGCTGCTCTTAAATTCACTTAGTTTTTGTGCCACTTCCTAAGCCTAGCAGCAGAGGGCAGTGTTTGGTCATTCTTCTAAATTGCATTAGAATTTGAAAATGCAATTGTTTGATAGCTCAGGTTAAAATTTCAAGTGTATTATCATGGCAGTACAGTGGTACCTCGGGTTACATACGCTACAGGTTACAGACTCCACTAACCCAGAAATAATACCTCGGGTTAAGAAGTTTGCTTCAAGATGGGAACAGAAATTGTGCTCCGGCGGCACGGCGGCAGCAGGAGGCCCCGTTAGCTAAAGTGGTGTTTCAGGTTAAGTTTCTGATTAAGAACGGACCTTTGGAATGAATTAAATACGTAACCAGAGGTTCCACTGTATTTAGGCAGTCTAGATAAATGAGGAAAATGGAACTGCTTTTGGTAGTTCTTTGTACTGGAACAAGAATGCTGGATACTACTGGATAACCCTACTGCATGCCTATCAGAATGAATTCAATTCTCCGTTTTCCATACAAAAGAATCAGACACTCTCAGTTGTGAATGATGTCCTGTTGTAAGCTTAATAAAACTCAAAGCAAACCAAATACTTAGCGATGGAGGTTCTAAATATTATATTTGTTCATACAGGGCTGCTATCGACCTCTTGCGAATCATCAAGAGATAAAAGCAGAACCTTCTCAAGGTAATGGTTTGAAATGATGAAATCATAGTTTAATGCTAGCCTGAAAATGTCACCATTGCAAAAATAAAAATAAAATGCTGCACTTTTTCATATTCTCGACAGTTACAATTTAAAACACTTACTGCTCTGTTCACTCTTTTCCAGATAGCCATGTTAATCTATTGCTGAAAAAACAGTGCAAATAGAACATTTATTATGGCATAAGCTTCATGGACTAGAGTCCATATCATTGGATGCAAGAAGTGTTATCCTAAACTGGCAGGCATATATACACACAGCTGTAGGGGTTTCTTTTTTTCTCTTCGCCTGTGTGTGTGTATGTGTGTGTGTGTACCTGCCAGTTTAGCTGGTACACCTGACATGGACTCTAGTCCATGAAGCTTATGCCATAATAAATACGTTAAGTCACTAGAGCCTCTTGTTTATTCTCTGTGGACAGTAGTGGCTTTGTTTAAATATTTTAATTTATTTAAATGTTTGGGAAGCCATCTCTTTGTGGTTTTTACTGTGCTAAGCTCCTTAGAGGCTGTGGTAATTGTTGTTAGTATTATAATAATATTTATTTATATCCCACCTTTTTCCTTGACAGGCACTCAAGGCAGCTTACAGCTAAAATAGAAACAGCTAAAAACATAGATAAAAAGCAATCATTAAAAAACAATTAAACATTAATAGAATATATATATATATATATATATATATATATATATATATAGTGTGTATGTGTATCTGTGTGTGTGTGTAGATAGATGGATGGATGGATATGGATACAGTGGTGCCCCGCAAGACGAATGCCTCGCAAGACGGAAATCCCGCTAGACGAAAGGGTTTTCCGTTTTTGAGTTGCTTCGCAGGACGAATTCCCCTATGGGCTTGCTTCGCAAGACGAAAATTTCTTGCGAGTCTTGAGATTTTTTTCACTTTTCCCCCTTTGTCTTATCTGCTAAGCCGTTAGTAGCCTTTAATAGCCTTTTAGCAGCTAATCCCCTAAGCCTTTAAGCCTTTAATAGCCGCTAAACCGCTAATAGCGCTAATCCGTTAAGCCGCTAATAGGGTTGCTTCGCAAGACGAAAAAACCGCTAGACGAAGACACTCGCGGAACGGATTAATTTCGTCTTGCGAGGCACCACTGTACATAGATATAGATATATAACATACAGATCATTACAATAAAAACATCATAGCGCCAGTGTCAGGACTGGTCGTTGTCCTCTTCAGATCACCACACAAACGCTTCTTGTTCTTTTATAACTTTTTATTGCGTATTAACAAAACAATCTTATAAACGGTTCTTAACTATTATTCCTCAGAGTCACTTCTTTCAGATACCTTCTGAGCTCTGCTTCTCCATGACCAGCCACCCTCAAAATGTCGAACGCGCCCTTCCCTTCGCTTTCCGCTCTTTTTTCTAACCTCCTGGCTAGAGCTGGCCTGTCTCTCCCCTCCTCCGAATCTGAGCTAGAACTTAACCCTTGCCTTTCCTGGGAACAGCCGGTCCCTCCCTGTTGTTCCCTTCTATTAGATTCACTGCTCTCCTCCCCCCCTTGGGGAATGCTTTCTCCCTCTGGGAAACTGGAATCTTCTAACTCTAACTCTTCCCTGACAACCAGCCCTTTCTGGACACCAACTTTGAATTGTGCCCAGAAACACACTGGTATGCAGTGGAGCAATTGTAACAAGGGAGTTGTATGACACCTAAAACCAGCCCCAGTCAGCAATTTGGCTGCAGCCATTGACATTTCGGAGCACTTTGACTACTGTTCCAGTGCAGTCATTCTGCCCCTTTTTTCTAGCCCATGTTCCGTTCTTCAGAGGCACGGCTTTTCATTTCAAAACTCTTCAAGTGGGGCACTAAACAGGAACGCAGGCTAGGAGCATAGCAGTCTCTGCCTTATGCCAGGCCAAGTTCTTTGTCCACTTACTTGGTCCACTTACTGACAGCAACAGTCCAGAATCTTTGGCAGAGGTCTTTCCCATCACCAGCTACTTGTACTGGGATTCTCAGCATTGAGTCTGGGATGTCCGGACATTGCATGCAAAGCATTGTGGTACCACTGAGCTACAATCTATCTCCTTGGTTAGTAGATTGTGTGTGAATTCTGGTTAGTAAATGGTGAGAATTCTGACACCCCAGCATGTGATTATCATTAACACTTTGTTAAACATGCCCTTAATTTAGATCAGGGGTTCTCAAACTTTTTTCTCTGGCCAGAGAATAAAAAATTGCTCGCCCCACACCAATTTTTTTTTATTGATAAGAAATGCATTGGAAAACAAAAGAAACAACTCCTAGCAGTGCTTTATTTGTAGCATGGAACACAACTACTTTATAACATGATCATGGGGCATCCAGAAAGTATAGAACAATACAGCTACATAAGAACATGAATCATTCCCAATATATAATTATAAACAAGCTTATTACATATGTACCTTAAGTATGTACACAAACTCCATGAGAGGCTTGAGCTGTTTTTTCCGGGTAATCTCATTTAGATTAGGTCTAATTTGAGACAAACTCACTCTCATCTCCTCATCAACACAAAGAAGCCTTTCTCTTTTCTGATCTTTCATATTTGTCAGATTTGAAAATCCCTGTTCAGAACAGTAAGTCGTGGAGAACTGTAGAAGAATAGCCAATGCTGTTGAATAAAGGCATAGATACTGCTTCTGGTTGTGTATGCATACAACACTGAAATATTTAAATGTTTCTTTGATTGTCCTTGAATCTTCTCGCCACCCTTGCCATCCTCTGCCCTTTGAGAACCTCTGATTTAGACAAATATAAAGTTTTTCCCCATCAAATTTGGGTTGAGTTCTGGTGACATTTTTTCTGGCTTAGAGGAGCTGCTGCTTCCTGTGCAGCAAAGGATCCCCACCCCCACCCCCATATCTGGCTTTGGGTGCATTTGTGCTAGCAAGTTGCACATGTTTCCAGAAGTTGCGTACAAACTGCATTAATCCTGTGGACTCACTGGGTGATTTGAGGCAAGACACTTTGTCTCTCACCAGTAAAAAGTCAATATTAATTATTTAACTTGCAAAGTATTGTAAGGATGAGTATTTAGAAGAATTGTAAATAACTTTCAAAATGAAAAGAACTATAAATATGTTTTAGTAACAAGCTTGAGTCCTTTTTTGCACATTACAGACAGCGCCCAGCAGTGAGTGCTTCTTAACTTTGTGTCTTAGCAGAGCAGAAATACAAATTACTAACAAAAAATATCATACAGAATTATGCACTGTGTTCAAAGTGTTTATTTGCATAGTTTCTGGGATGTTCATGCATCCCTGTTTAGTAACTGGTGGCCAGAAACCAAAGATATTTAGATTACTCACTACCTCTCATTTCCTTTTTTCATTTCCCTGTGCTTTGAAAGCCCTGAACGTATTTCTGTTACTAAATACCAAGCACCTTTAATATACTGTCAAGTAACAATCTCTCCAGCGTATTATATCATATAGGAACTGTTGGGCTAGATCAGTTCAGATGGTGCAGTTCTCTGTGTTCAAAAGAGGCCAGGCGGATGCCTCTGAGAGGTTCACAACCTTTAGTTGTTTGTAATAAACTTGTACTCCAGTTTCTAGCCGAGATAGACAGGTACTCCGGTCTCTGCAGTGATGGGCAAGAATGTCCAGCACCCAACTGTTTAACAATAGTAGCAACAAAATGATCCCTTGAACACTCTGCTGCTACCCTAAGTTATATATTGCTAAAATGAAGAAAGCTTGAGATAACAAGGAGTGGATTTCTGTCTGGAAGCAGTGGGAGATTTATTCAGTTCTGGTACTGACAACAAATTGTTTTGCTCTACATTATTCAATCTTGCTCCAGCTTCAAGCATGTGGATCTTGGGGTGCTAGTAAAATACCAAGTAGATCTTGTAAGCCTGAAGTCTGCCCACTGCTGCTCTAGCTTGCTGCAGCTCCTGTTATTATTGGTCCCACTTTTCCAGATTGAAAACTGAGGAGAAGAAGGAATTTTTTAAATTTAATTTAATTTACATACTACCCTATACCTGGAGGTCTCAGGGTGGTTCACAGAATAAAATCAAAATATAAAACCACAAAATACATAATCAAAATAAAAACAACAACCCAATACCTTGCCCTCCCCCAAAGAAACCCACATTTTAAAAGGGCATAGGATGTCAATAAAATCAACCAAAGGCCTGGTTAAAAAGGAATGTTTTTGCCTGGCGCCTAAAGGTGTATAAGTTCACTCAAGGGGCTTGTGGGTGAGCTGGAGTTTGTAACGTACAACATGCCTTGATGAGTACAGGAGTAGCTTATTGAGGAGCAGGAGGGACAGAGAAAAATAATGGAGATAGAGGCAGGGGTAAATGGATGAAGAATGGGTGTATGTTTCAGATGAAGGGTTTGAAGGTGGTAAGAGTAGTGGTGTCATGCAGGTGTTCAATAAGACAGCTGAAGCTGCTGTATCTAGAGCAAAGGTATGAAGATCATTGGCAGGATTGTAAAGAGATAAACAACTACCTGACATTTAGAAGATATCTGAAGGCAGCCATGTTCAGGGAAGTTTTTAATGTGTGACATTTTAATGTATTTTTAATCTTTGTTGGAAGCCACCCAGAGTGGCTGGGGAAACCCAGCCAGATGGGCGGGGTACAAATAATAAATTATTATTATTATTATCATCATCATCATCATCATCATCATCATCATTAATTCTCCCACATAAATTATGGGGTGCAAAAACCATGCAATCCTGGCCCTCCTGCCCAATTCACAGAGGACTATCATGTGAGCTGACCTAATAGGGCACTCCAACTCTGTGGCAACCTCCCAGACACATGGAGCCAGTCCGTCAAACTCCAGTAACTGTTGCTGTTTTCTGGCTCAGAACTTGTGGGGGAATTGTGGCACACTTGCCCACAAGGTCACTACGTTGTATTGTCCTATCAAGGCTCCTTACTGGAAAACCATTGTACCTTTGAGCAAGGGATCACAGGCGAACGCTCCTTAGGGTGGCTTTTATTCCCACATAGATTTTCTTTTTTAAATAATATTTATTAAGTTTTCCATTTTAATAATCCAATAAAAACCACATTAAAACATTCCAAATTACAGTACAATAAAAAAATCCAAATATAAATGCCAAATTATATATCTTTGGGTGACTTCCCATGCTCTGAATTTCATGAAGTGCTGATCGTCTAATATCACATTGCATTTCTTAGTTAGTCAATAAACCATTCCGATGTTAATCCTTCATTTAATTTAAGTCCCACATAGATTATGTCCTGTCTGCCTTCTCCACTGCTAGTGGACTGCAGACTGTCTTTATAAGTTTCCTACTCCTAGTATTCTTTCTGGAGTGAAGTGTTACCTTTGTGTCAATTCTTTGTGTGTTTGCACTTTTAATGTATGGGAAAGTACTTAAGGAGTCATTTCTAGCTAATTTCATTTTCATTTTATTATTACAACAATATCAACTTTTTTTTAATGCTTTTAACGTAATCATCACATTTCTTATAATTTCTTATTTCTTACTGAGTTTGACCCAACAGTGAAAGTTCTTGTTTTGCAGCAGGTGGGATTTCCACTTCTTTGTTTCTGGCTTAGCTTTTTTTTCACTTGCTAGGTTTCTGTTGACAGGAAAGCATGTAGTTGCAACTTCACAAAGTGAAAACTAGGGCTGAGCTGGAACTTCTTGCATGCTTTTGCTTTTGCTGAGGTCAGCTGAGCGAGTTGTGCAGTCCCCTAGCTAGCTGGGAAACGGCCAAATTGCATGGGGAGTCTTGAGGCACGAATATTTTCTTTTCATGAGCCTGTTCATGGATTCAGAGAAATGGTCCACCCTGTTGAAAGGGCAAGATTCAGCACAATAATGCACCAAATCCACAAAACGCAGCTGAGGGCCTTTAAGAAAAGAGCCTGTTGCAATTATGGCAATCGTCTTGATTTCTGTTGAACAGCTGTTATCCAAAAAGCAGCAAGTGCACAGGCTTACGTTTGCCCCCAAAGAAAGCTGCAAAGTTTTGCCCTCGAGGGGTTTGCACGAAATCCATTTGTCTACCAGTTGACAATGCAAATGTTGTTGCTTAGTGTCCTGGGCTGCAGCCGATGGCTGTATTTCGGGGGTTGTTTTGTGACGCTTGTCCCTTCTCTTTACAATCTCTGCCACTTGAGGATGCCTCTCCCAGCATTTGCTCACAGAACTGCTCTCGCAAGTTACTCTGTGAATTGGGAAAGGGTATTCATGAGTCAGAGTGGATTCACATTTTGTGCAGCAAACGTGTTTAACAACATTAAGTGTGAAGTGTGCATTTGTAAACACTCAGCGGACATGTGCTGAGGAACCTCTGTAGATCAGAGTTCCCAGCACCTGTTCACCTCAAGTCAGCGAGCTTAACAAACATGCGCCTGTGCTTTAGGAGGCTTCCTGATGCAAACACACTTTCCACATAAAAGGCAAGCTGACCCAATATTGCAAATGGGGCAATCTGATTTGCATAAATTGCATTGCTAGTAGAAATAAGTCTCTTAGCCCTGGCTCATATCTTTAGGAACCAATACCTATTTCCCCAGGGGCCTGATTACATGACTTCTCTCTGCCTGAGTGAAATCATGTGAGGGGGCCTTTTGCAAGAATTGTATTTGCCTTGTTCATATGTTAACTTTACCTGCACAGTAGTAACAGGCCACTGCACAGGGGAATTTGAAACGTTGCTTGGATTGAATGCTCTCTGGGGCACAAGTTATTTTATGCGTTACTCAGTTTTCTCCTATGTACACGTTTTGAGTTTAGGTCCTCCGTGCCTGTTATGTGTTGTACATGAAGTAATTATGCACTTATAAATGATCTCTAGTAATGAAATAAAACCACAACCATAATTGTGAAGCAGTCTTTACAATTCTGTTCCATCGCAGGTAGACATTTAGTGGAACTCAATTAACATTTACCCCTTTTCAGTTTTAAAAGCTATAAATAAATAAATAAATAAATAAATAAATAAAATTTATTTATTTATTTATTTATTTATTTATTCATTCATTCATTCATTCATTCATTCATACCACGCCCTCGCCGGCCAGGACCAGGCTCAGGGTGGCTAACATCAAAACACACAATACATTAAAAACACAAAAATCGAACACTTGATTAAAATACAGCTTAAAATCAAATTAAGATCAGAATGGCAACGCACGAATTATAACTATAGGGGTTGGGAACATTAAGTGTGCACCAAGCCCCAACTCTTCCCATTTGTGTTATTTGTGTGAGTCTTAGCTATTTGTGCTGATTTTATATGAGCCGGTGGGAAAAGTTAGGGTTGTACTAGATAAATAAAGGTTATACTAGAGTTGGATTAAGCAGCTTTGTGTTTATGGCAAAGAAAGTACAGTGGTGCCTCGCAAGACGAAATTAATCCGTTCCACGAGAGTCTTCGTCTAGCGGTTTTTTCGTCTTGCGAAGCAACCCTATTAGCGGCTTAACGGATTAGCGCTATTAGCGGTTTAGCGGCTATTAAAGGCTTATCGGCTTATCGGATTAGCTGCTAAAAGGCTATTAAAGGCTTAGCGGCTTAGATAAAGGGGGGAAAAGCGGGGGAAAAATCTCAAGACTCGCAAGACATTTTTGTCTTGCGAAGCAAGCCCATAGGGAAATTCGTCCTGCGAAGCAACTCAAAAACGGAAAACCCTTTCGTCTAGCAGGTTTTCCGTCTTGCGAGGCATTCGTCTTGCGGGGCACCACTGTATGATTTCAGGCAGGAAGTAAGGAACCTAGATTTATAACATGACAGTTTAATATCACAGGCTTGACTCAGAGAATCTTTTCAGAGGGCTTTCAAATAGCAAGCAAACAAACAAACAAACAAACCTAAACTTGTTATTATGCCTAATCTTGTAAATAAACCCACATACGGTAATTTACTAACCCATAAAAACTTGAATCAACCCACCTGTCCACATTGTACTTAGGCTAGTCATTTGTGATTTGTGACCGTGAGCAGTCTGTAATGTTACCCTGTCTGGTCAACAGGAAATGATAGTTACTTATCACAGAAAGCCATGTACAAGCATGCTTTCATTTTTTTATATACAGTATATTTTATAGCTTACATTTTAAGCCAGCTCTTTATCCAAGGAGCCCAGGCTCTCTTTCTGTCCATTGTATCCTCACAGCAATCAGGCAAGATACTGTGACCAGCTAAAGGATACATAGTCAACTTCATGGCTCAACTCAAATCTCCCTGGTCTAGTACAACTCTTGAACCACTATATCACATTGTTTCTTAACTTATGTGCTGAGTGAATAGGAGTTTGCTCAATTTCAAGAGATGCATCCTGTACACGTTCATGGATTTTTTTCCTCTTAAATTGTTCAGTAATCTGCCCAATGTAGAAAGATCACTGCCGAAACCTATTCGGTACCAATCCTTCATGCTAAAAACTTTTGATGCTTTCTCAGTGAAATAAAGTATTTTAAAATGATGTGAAATAGTGGAGACTACCTGTAATAGTGCTCTTGTAATCCTTTTTTTGTACTTTGTTGTGGGCAAATGAATTTTCTCTCCCTTTTATAGGATATGAAATCATTTTGTTTCTTTGCAGATTCTCGTATGGCCGACTTGAGGCTTTCAACAAAAACTGCATCCAGGGACATTGGAGAATCGTTTAAGGTGAGAACTGGAAGGGGAAGCAAGAGCTACACAATCAGCTAGGAGCATTTATACTTATTTTCAGACACTGCCATAGAACAGTGCTGAAGCAGAAACCTAGGAAATAAGACTGACCTCTTTAATTATTATATACAAATCTGTCATTTTATTAGGTAAGGTAAGATTGTTCATTTGGACACAACTGAGCTAAGGTAGAAGGCTTCAAAATTCTCTGAGTTTCAGGGAGACAACTTTATTTTATTAATTTCCTGCAGTAGTTTCTAGTTCTCCAAAATGGCCCTGTTCTCCCTGCTGCATTTAGCATTTCAGCTAGACACTAAAGGTGTCTTAGCTCCTTGGGATTTACTGTCCCATGTTCATTGCTGGCCTGGTAAGTTTATGAGTGAGTTCATTTGCATGGTAATTATGTCCTCCTGTGGGTCACCTCTATCATTAGTAAGCCACTAGTCCTATATTTTTACATGGAATAAATTAAAAAGTATGTTCTTTCAGCTTCAGTCTTCTAAATCTAAAAGAATAATCATGTATGCTCTTATGTATTGGGACGCGGGTGGCGCTGGGGGTTAAACCACAGCGCCTAGGACTTGCTGATTGGAAGGTCGGCGGTTCGAATCCCCGCGACGGGGTGAGCTCCCGTTGCTCAGTCCCTGCTCCTGCCAACCTAGCATTTCGAAAGCACATCAAAGTGCAAGTAGATAAATAGGTACCGCTCTGGCGGGAAGGTAAACGACGTTTCCATGTGCTGCTCTGGTTCGCCAGAAGCGGCTTAGTCATGCTGGCCACATGACCTGGAAAAACTGTCTGCGGAAGCGGACAAACGCCCGGCTCTCTTGGCCAGTAAAGCGAGATGAGCACTGCAAACCCAGAGTCAGTCACGACTGGACCTAACGGTCAGGGTTCCCTTTACCTTTACCTTATATATTGGACATTTAGTATTTATAACAGATTAGATAACAAATAGAAGCTAAATTAACTCCCTTCTGGCTTAGTTCTTTGCCACTAAACAGTAGGTGAAATGGAATTTGTAGGAGGCGAAATGGAATTTACATGTTTTGGGTTGTATCCAACTAAGGTTTTTTCAAAGTAGACATTGAAATTAATGAGCCTAAATTAACAGATATCATTAATGTCATTGAGTCTACTTGGAGTAGGAATAACATTGGATACAAGCCCTTTGTCTTTAAACATTTGAATGTTTTGAGCAGAGTTTTATAGCAGGGCCTCTGTGCTCTTGTTGTTTGACCATGGTGTAGTGCAGTGTGGGAAATAAGATACATTATTAAGGTAATGGGGTCAAAGATAAAAGTAGGCAATCGTTTTTGCAACTCTAGAAGATGTGAAACGTCATTCTTTTGAGCCTTGCAAATGAATGCTGAAATTGTGAATCAGTCTCAGTGAAGGTTTTGGGAATCTGATTGTTGTTGAGTTTGCAGTACTGCAATTCATACTTGTACCTTTTTCACTAACTTAAAACCTGTTCTGTTCTCCCCACCCCAGTCTCTGTCATCCCTTGTAGAAAAAGCAGAGGGTTTCTCAAAAGCATTGTCTATGCAACCAACTTTGGGATTATGCAAACTCCATCAAGAAATCTGTTCTGGCTCAGAAGTGAAAAGGCGGATAACATTGAAGTCAAAGATCTTTTTGTCGCAAGTGGAAGTCACACCCCCAGAAAGTGGTACCAGTAATTCCATTCTACTGAAAAAAAAGAGACGATCTTATTCCCCACAGAAACACTACCCACTTCGAGCAGGTGTAATTAATCTTGATACATGAAAACCTTTTTGTGGGGGACTACTGTGTAGTCTCCCCTGTCCCCGAATCTGTCCACATAAACATAGACTGGTTCGCAAAAGCATCAGTAGTGATGTCGCCTGGAATCCATACCACCAAACCGATCTTATCTGGAAGTTACAGAGTTTTGTTGTTGGGTCCTCTCATATAGCTCTGAATACTTCGCTGGACCATTTCTTACTAATTTTGAGCATTGTTCTTTGAAACCTGAGGCTGCTATGCTTTTGCTGTATTATAGCAGACTTATCCAGCTACAACGTCTTGAGTTGCTTACAACTTCTGAATGGCCAGGGATCTCCAGGGCGTACGTGCAGGAAGCTGTGCTCTAGTAAAGCTCAGTTCAAGCAGAAGACTCCATGCTATGGGGAGCAAAGAAGAAAGCTAAAAAAACAAAACCTTGCTGCAGACGTCCAAGTCTTTTGACATAGAAGGGCTGGTGGATCACAGCAACAGTTTGCAATTGTGTGTCAGTATTGCTTCAGCATATAGTTTATTTGCACAGGTTTGTTGCGAACATCAGGAGATAGGTGCAGGCAGAACTGGATGTTTGGTTGCAGAATCAGTCTCCACTAAACATCTAGGAAATGATGGAGGAAGGATCCAGTTTGGAGGTTGGCAGGAGTGTTTAAGCCATTCCACACTTGCTTCTTCTCCTCTGCATTCCCTTTCCCAACTGCTTTTCTCCTAGTTACAGAACTAATGCACCGAGGATTCCTGCTGGGCAAAGGTTATGTAGGGGACGTATAGCAAGTGAGGAAACAACTAAGGATCTGTTGCATGCCCACCATTTCTTCCTTCCAAAACTGTTTAAATGTTGAATGGCGACGCAGGTACCAAAACATAGGTCTGCCACCAGATGTGTTGTTTTGTCCTGAAAAGTAACCTGGAATATATGCAACATTTGGAATTGTAAGGGAATTCTTGGCTTGCATGTATTGTGACATCTTGAGACAGTGTTCATTATGGTGTGTTTATACGTCTGGCCTTAACCTTCTTATGGTCTCTTGAGTACTGCCCTCATCTGTACCTCAAGCGTACAAGGTTTAGGATTACTAATCCATGTAGTAGATTGAAAGTGTTTAGATCACAGTATAAATCTAGAATTCTCATAAGTTAATTTTGAGCCATGCTGCTTTTCTGTCAAACTTGCCAGTACATCTTTGTTTGCCATTCTCACAAAAAGTGGAAGAGATGGCCTCTTTTAGGGGTCTCTTTAGAACACAGTGCCTGATCATAGATGGGCAGTTCAACTGCTGATCACCTAAAGCCAGAGGGGAATGTACTTTTGAGTTGCATCTGCCTGCTGAAAGGAGTGGAGTGAGCTGAAACAGAATTGTTTGTTCTGAACCTGGCAGCGTATATTCAAGGAGAGCTGTAAAAAAGCTATTTTGAATTTGGGGGTACAGGACTTGTATGCATGCTTGCTTTGCCACAGAATGCTTGGTCAGTGTGTACATTAGTACATACATTACTACACTTACTTAGCTTCCCCTGCCTGTGAAATTCCCACCATTTCGGAAACAATATATATACAGTTTAAAACAAGACTACATTGGTGAGGCTTATTTATGAAGTACCTAAATCAATGTTATTATCAGGTATTGTTTTCTTTTTTCCAAGTTGAAATTTACTTAGAATTACATTTTTTTCCTGAAAATGGAGGAAAAATGCTTGCCTCAATGTTAATTATTGTGGGGTGAATCCATCTAAATCATATTTGGAGTAGATTCATTAAAATCAATGGATTTAAGCTAATCATGTTTATTTCAATGGGTTTACTCTAAATATGACCTAATTGGAGTTCATCCTGTTTCTTTTAAAAAATATTCATTAAACAGTCTGGCCAAAATACTAGGAGTGGTATCTGAATGGTTGGTAGTCGTTAGACATGCCCATTAATGTCAATAGATCTCCTCTTAAGTATGTCTAACATACTTAACCTCACCCTAGAAACATATTTAACTCTGCTCTTGAAATTCTATTTTTAAAGATTGTGCTTGTGGAATAGGCCTTGCACAGTGAACATGTACACTTGCCTTGTCTCATTTGTAAAATGTATATTTGTATATAAAATACATTTTTTGTATACCACATTCATCAAAATGAGATTTCTGGATTTTTGGTTTGGATTTATGCTCAATTTTTTGCTTGCTTTACCAGTTTTTGGTTTTGTTTTTTTGCAAAGCAGTTCTGAGTCATGTTTTCAAAACAGTTGCAATTCAAGTGCGTCTGAAATGCTATATGCAGTGGGACTTGGTGCTACTTTTTTTGCATAAAGAAATTGTCATTATAAATTAGGAAATGGATAGTCAGGATCCAAACAACTACAAACTAGTTATGCATATACAAGGTGGCTGGCTTGAGTTTTTCTTCCCTCAATACCACATGGAAAATCTCTTTTGAAATGGAGCTCTGTCCAAAACATTTTTAGAGAATAGGGGTCTGTTGATCAGAGCAAAACTTAACAAGCATCCCTTAAAGTAGATATTAAAAACCCAGCCATGTTTCAAATCTGCCCATTATGAAGTTTTACGTTTTACATTTGGATGATCATTACACAGATAAGAGTAGTAATTTCCCTCCTTGTAGTAATTTCTCTTGTCCATAATTTTATTAATAATACATTGTTTTTGTGGTTTGCTTTGGGACCTGTATTTGGTAATCTAGGTGCTTTTCTTTGTTCTTGTCTTTCTGCAATTAGGAGAAATAATTACTTATTCTGATTCTGTTTTCAAAATGCCTAAAACAGAACAACTTGGGGTCCAAAAGTAGTTGTGCGCCCATTCATTCTGAAAACGAGCAGTATGACTTGTCAGTATTTCTGACATAATGGAGATGCTCCTCATCTGTGCATAAAATTAGTATTATAACCTGAACAGTTCCATCTCATGATACCATCTGCACAGCACAAGACTTTTGGTTTCTCTTCCCTCTAGCCCAGGGGGCAGCAAACTTTTTCAGCAGTGGGCCGGTCCATTGTCCCTCAGACCTTGTGGGGGGCCGGACTATATTTGGGGGGGGTGAACGAATTCCTATGCCCCACAAATAACCCCAAGATGCATTTTAAATAAAAGGACACATTCTACTCATGTAAAACCACGCCGATTCCTGGACCGTCTGCGGGCCAGATTGAGAAGGCGATTGGGCCAGATCTGGCCCCTGGGCCTTAGTTTGCCTACCCATGCTCTAGCCCACTGCAAGTATTCAAAATCAGCTCTAAAGGGTCCCCCCAGAACAGATGTGGGATATGTGAGGGGCTGTAGAGGAGAGAAAGGAGAAGCCCTATTGCAGAAGCAGACACTCGCTTGGATTAATCTTAGATCTCAGCCGTAGTCTCTGTAGGTGTCAAATGCCATTGAGAATAATTGTACTAATAATATTGAGTTCCTTTCAAGTGTCAGCACAGTGAACAAGAATTGGTTGAATTACATGTAGGTTTTCCAGCGGGAAACAAGCTACATGTAGGTTGTTTCCAGTACATGGAGACAATCAGAAACACCCCCACCTCAGTGTACCCATTTCTTCAAAACAAACTAATGGAAACCTCCACAATGCTTAAACATGTTCAGGCAGTCCAGTGCTATTTTTCTAGAAAAACAGGTGGCAGAACTCACCATGAACACCTCCCTCGTTCTCTTAGAATGGCAATGGTCCCCAGCTGAGAGGTGCTGGAAATGAGTTCCTGTGAGTTCCCTATAGGGAAAAGAAGCCCTGACACAGTCTATGCTTAAAGCATGGAAAGGAAAAACAGGAAAACAGTCCCCATCCTCTCTAATAACCCTGGCTCACAATGCACTATTCCACTATGCATCCCAAAGCATCCAAGTAAGAATTGGGCAGACCAAAGTCCTACACCACCTAACAGACTTCTACAAGAATGGCAACCCCATACCAGTAAGGGAAAAACAAGATAAGCTAGAGGACACCCTAATGCCTTGGCTGATCCACCACCTTCTTAAACAACCCAGCAGCAGCCACTAGGCCACTGACTAACTTTGGAAAGCTCCTCTTGACAGCAGATGGACACAGCAAAGGAATGGTATCTACAGTATATTACTCCAAGACACTATAAATTCCTTCACCACAATTAAAGACCCATGGGAGCGTGACATAGGATATGAAATAAACTCTACCCAATGGTCCAAACTGTGGTCTATGCCACCATTTAAATCCATCTTAGCCAAAAGAAGAGAGCTCACCTCGAAACTTTTTTATAGATGGTACCTAACACCATGGAAGGAACGCGGGTGGCGCTGTGGTCCAAACCACTGAGCCTTGGGCTTGCCGATCGGAAGGTTGGCGGTTCGAATCCCCGCGATGGGGTGAGCTCCCGTTGCTCGGTCCCTGCTCCTGCCAACCTAGCAGTTCAAAAGCACGTCAAACTGCAAGTAGATAAATAGGTACCGCTCCGGCGGGAAGGTAAACGGCGTTTCCGTGTGCTGCTCTAGTTCACCAGAAGCGGCTTAGTCATGCTGGCCACATGACCTGGAAGCTGTACACCGGCTCCCTCGGCCAATAAAATGAGACGAGCGCCGCAACCCCAGAGTTGGCCACGACTGGAACTAATGGTCAGGGGTCCCTTTACCTTTACCTTTTAACATCATGGAAGCTAGCACTGATACACCCAGGAACCTCACCCAAATGCTAGAGAAGCTGCATGTAATGCATGAAATATGTAAGACATATTTCAGAATGAGCATGTTTTGAGGTGGAATCCATTTCACAAAGTTCTTGCCACTTTCCTTAAACACAATATTTCTTCTTTATTGCAGCCTGTCCCTCAAAACTGCCGCAGTCTGATTTACGATGCTGAGTAAACAGGGTGGCACTTTAAGACATGTTTTTGTAAACTGAGGCATGGGCATTCTTTCTGATCTGACTCTTAGAATGGAGTTAACTTTTTTTGTTTTCTGGACAACAAAATATAAAGCTGACAGGTGAAGCAATGCAGTGTTTGCTTTGGGAAAAGGATTGTGCTCAGTTTTTTGGGTTTTTTTAAGCTATCACTCTAGGAGTCCCACTTTTGATAGGAGTGGCATTGCCTTTCAGTCCTTTACATTTAAGGATCTTGTGAAGAAGGCAAGGAGAGTAGTTTTTCCTGGAAGCATTCATGATGGATTGGTCCAGTGGTATAATTGTTGCGTTTTTGAAGTGAATTACCATATTTTTTGCACCATAACACTCACTTTTTTCCTCCTAGAAAGTAAGGGGAAATGTCTGTGCGTGTTATGGAGGAAATGCCTACGGGTGGCATGCCTACAAATTTTCCTCCTCTAAAAACTACGTGTGTGTTATGGTCGGGTGCGTGTTATAGAGCGAAAAATACGGTTAAGTAAATTCTATCTCTTAGCTATGTG